ACGGGAGCTATGGGAAAGCAATAGAATGGGGCGTTGCTCAATAAAATATGATTGAAAATGATTGTGAAAGGAATTTGACGGAAACGGGAGCTATGGTAAAGCAATAGAATGGGGCATTGCTCAATAAAATTTTTAGTTCCTTTTCCCCAGCCGTATACTTGACTTTCTCTTGATCGGATAGAATGCAAAACTGAGAGAAACTTAAACTGAGAAAGTTTAAAAGATGTTCCTCGTCGAATCTCGTCAGTGGTCTTCTAATCCTATGTTCGGCCTTTTTGGAGTCACTAAAAGCAAAATTACATCTTCAGAACCTCTTTAGTAACCTAACCCCAAGAATGATCGGGTTTTTATGGCGCCTTTTATAGGTCACTAACGAGCCCGGCTTTATTTCCATTCCATTCAACTAAAGAAAGCGACTCAGCCCGTTGTTATTCATTAAATTAGTCCGTAAAAGGCTGATCAACTATTTTTTTGATTTCTGTTTGACCCGTTTTTTCTGAGCTGACATTGTGATCCCAATTTTTACTTCCCAATAAAATACTTCTTTCCCTTCAAAAAACAAAAATTAACATTAACAAATTTAATCTCTAGATTGCTTTCAACAAGATTCGACGAGGAGCATCTTTTAAACTTCCAATAGTTTCTCTCACTGTTTTTTGGTTGGCCTAAAATTCGATATACACAGTGACCGCAAAGTATAGCGACAACTTTTGGGAAAATAGCTCGAAAGAGTCTAATTGATTTTAAAAGTGGCAAGTGTTATATAGAGAATTGTAGCCCTAATTCTCGGCAACATTTATCTACCAAAGACTTCCCGATTGGACTTATACAACTCATTTAACAAGCGATTGAATAAATGCTGGTCGACATCTCTCCGATGAATCAGCCATGCTTGTTAAATGAGGTGTATGAGTCCAATCGGGAAGTTATTTTTTGGTAGATAAATGTAGGCAATAATTAGGGCTACAATTCGCTACATAAGACTTGCCACTTTTGAAATAAATTAGACATTTTTCAGCTACTTTTCCAAAAAGTTCTGATTACGGTAAGAAAGAATGCAGGACATTGTTTAAAAAACAAACTTGTTAGATTCAAGAAAGGAAAAAAAATGATATAGAGAAATGCAACTTAGAATTATTTTTCCAAAAAGTATCGTTATATAGAAAATCGTTAGAAGTATAGAAAAGTATACAAGCTTGTTTGTTAACATTTTAACATCCTTAAAAACGAGTTGAAACTAAAAATAATCGTCACTAGTGAATGTGTTAAAACCATTTTTCACTCACCATCTTTTTTAAAATCCATTCAAATAGTTTACATTAGTTTCCGTAAGTCAAAGGTTCATAAAAAGAAGCATTTTTCAGCGTCAAAACTCATGTTTTTTAGTCCGAAACCTAACCTTCCTTCAAAAACCGTAAATAAAACTGACTCTAACTGGCTTGAGTTGTTCTTTTTCAAATCGGTTCTTTAGGCGCTAAAAAGTATAGCTGTTTATTCACTTTTGCAGAAACCAAAGGGCTCAAGCCGCAGACTGTTTCAGCTGTACGATTTGATAATAATCTGTAAAAAACAAACGGTAAACATGCTTATCAGACCAATTTTCAAATTTCTCTTTGCTAAAATCGTAAACAAGAGGTCAGCATAAACACCCGAGAAACATTTTATCTCCTTATCCAAAATATGGTCTTCACGTGTTCCTGGCAATATAAAAGAGTAAGATTGGCTTGGGTTTTGATCAAATTTAGATAAACACCCTGAAATGCAATTCAAAGCTTTGACTCTATTCGTACTTGTTCTCCTTATCGGATTGGCAGTGACAGGTGGGGATTTTACAGAAAAATGTGACTTTGAACACTCTCAGAGTCTGTTTTCAGTTTTTGCATTGATATTGGGTTCTAAATTTAACACTACTAGCATTTGAACCGTAGAAAGACCATCCTAGCTCTTGATAACGAAACAAATTCAGCACCCGCAGCAGTGCCTCAAGACTGCCACAATCCTTGTAACTGGATCGAGGGCATTTGCCATTGTCCATGCGTACCAGATGGTGAGTAGTTTAAAGAAACAATTTTTCTATTCAAAGATGTTCTAACCAGATTCTATGACTTGTAATTCTGTACTTGTAGATCTTGTAGATCAGGATGTAGCCAAGACCGCAATCCAAGCCATGTCTAGCTTAGAGCCTAGAAGCTAGGTTCAGGTTTTTACAATTAGTACGATCAAAAGGAAAATTAAGTAATTTGTTTTGCTAAGCAGCTATATTAGGCTATCCAGAAAGTGTTTCCGTTGAAAAATAACCAAACTCACCAATTGCTCTACATAAAAAGCGCTTTGGTTTGCTGGTTTTTTTTGTTTATTGTTCAATTTCCCATCTTTTCAAGTCGATTTTGATTCACTTTCAAGCAAATTCGAGAGTGAAACCACGTGTTTTTCCTAAAAACCGATAAAAACCTCTACGAAGAAATTGGCTGAATCAATTTCTCTGAGAATTTAGCTATATACCTAACTTTTTGTGCTCTATATTTTATCGATTGACACAAAGATAGGTCTCCTTAGCTAAAGTGTCTAAACCGCATCATCAAGCTACATCCTCGAGTCCCTTTTTGACTACCCGACTTCACGCTCCCCAAAAACCCAGACATAAGAGATTTTAAACCCGTTTTAATGTTATTTTGTAGAAAAATCATTGGCCTTTCTAATGAAACAAATCGTAGTTCAATTGGTGCATTTGTTGGTTTTAAACAGAAGTACTAAAAGGAACAAAAAGACTCTCTGGACAGCCTAATAGTTATCGCTAAAAATTCCACTTTTTGCAGGTTGTTGGGAAACGGGTTGTCAAGTCTTCTACACCGTCGAGAAGGCTCTACTCAATCCGTGCATTCCTCCAGTTTGAAAATGATATATTTTCGTACAAATATCCATTCGTACAAAGAATTGCTTCTATTCTCAAGCTCTGATGCCAGCTTGCCGTTCAATTTCTACCATTTAACTGCTTGTTTATTTTACAAATCACATACATTTTCAATCTTTCCGACTCCTTTTTCTCTTGTACATAAAATTTGTTGTATTTTGATTTATCAAAAAGAAACTTTTATTTCGATTCACGTTGAAAAAGTGACACGAGCGGTGATTGTTTTCACTGAATTCGACTCGTCCTTTCTTCTTTTCGAACACAAGACACTTACCACACCAAAAAAATGACTTTAACAATTAAAAAATAGAAGTAATCATTAGTTTAATGTACTGCAAAGTCCGGGCTCGTACCCTTGTCGTAAGAACACATGATGGATCCTCCGCCTGTTTTCACCGTAGATTGCATGTACTTGAGTTGTTATGGCTTTCCGACTGAACGTCGGATCAGATGATTTCGATTCGAAGGAAAAATTTCAACTTTTGTTTCATCAATGAAAAACCCTCGGGCCCAATCATCGAGTTCCAAACACCATCGGATCACGTCGAAGATCCTTCAAATAGTAGTCAACGCCATTGGGGCCATCCCAATTCCATTTCTTCTCATCGGAAAAGACCACCTAAACGCAAAAAAAATATTAAAACATAAGCGGCTTTCTAACCATAGACCAATCCTGATTCATATGAGCCTTGGCGAACGCCAATCGGGCTTTCTTGTGCAAAAGCTTCACGACCGGTTGCATGTTCAATAATTGTCGATCGATATGTGGGTTTTCCTTGATGGCTCGCCAAATTCTCGATTTCGAAGCGTCGATTTTCCGTTCCGTTTTCACTTTATTGATAGTTTCTCCGTGGATGTTGTTCACAATATGGCGTCTAGCTCGCAGTGTCAGCTTTGGTTTTGGTCGTGGTTTCTTCTTTGGTGCAGAAACAAACTCGGACTTTATATAATTTCGCACGGCAGAGTCGGATCGGCCCAAATTTTTTGCGATTTTCCTTATTGAGTCGCCAATCCTCAAACGGGCATCAATCTGGCCTTTCTCATAATCCGTGAGCAGCTTTCCGTGTGCCATTTACCTGGAAATTAACAAAAATTATAGATTTAATAAAAAAATATGCACAACAGAACGAAAAATTTCAAATAACAACAGCAAAGGCGGGTGCGTTTAAGAATTTGAAACGGTTGATTTAGCAAAAAGTTTTTATTTTGAAAATTTTTACTTTTTACAGTATGCTTATTTTTCGTGTTTTTTAGGTTTTAAGACATGGTCTTTCTAATAGAAAAAGATTAATAGTTGTAGTGGTGTTCAAGACGCAAAATTCGCTATTTTAGAGGGTGCGTTTATGAATTTGAAACGCACTGTAGATGCCAGGAGCGTATTTATCAACTCCGGATAAAGAAATGATTGTCAAGGCAAGGCAGCCAGGAATGCCTGATTTAGCGAACGGCCAACACGCCGATCATTTCTCGGAATCTTCCATCGAAATTTCTTCTTTTTAATATTTTTTCAGGTATTGAATTTAGTTGGTTTCATCGTATTTTTATCGTTTTGGGATTGATTCTTGATGTCTTTGGACTTTAATACTTTGTGTACTTTGTGGTTTTTGCTCGTACTTTGTCCTTTGATTCTAAATATTTCATCTAGTTTGCCGTTCCCCATACACTAGACAAATAAGATTCTAAAAATTGGGTCCAATTTGAATTGCTCAATGGAAAAATATTTACTTTTAACCCATTTGATCTCAAGTGGCCACCGACGGAAATGCCATTCGGCGGAAAGGTTTTTCAGAACTCTTGAGTTTCAATGCAAATACGAGAATTATGCGTTGATCGAAAGAAGATCGAAAATTACTTATAATCTCTAGTCATTTTATTCTTATTAGCTGTTTTTATTCAATTCTTTCTAATGGCATTGTTCTATTCTATTTGGCTGCTTTTTCTGGCTAGATTTTGTATTGCTCAATCCGATGAAAGCGATGAGATTGATACAGGTGAAATTAAACTCTTTGAACTTTCAGGAAAAGAAGATAACAGACAGAGAAACAGATAGCTAACATAAAGTTGATGTAAAGATGTTTAAAGATGACATAACAACGAGTTTGGACTAGCAGAGCAGAGAAATCTTTTTGGCTCATTGAATTCGGACATTAATAGCAACTTTTTAAAAATCCCAACAAGTTTCAAAGGTTTTTAGACCAAATCTAACAGTAAAAAACCCAATTTTCAAGCAACAAAGCAAGAAAAAAATTCTTCAATTGCATAGTTCAGTCGGACTAAATGCTGCCAATGAAGTCTACAACGAGATATTCAATGTACGCGGTTATAATCGATTCCTATCACCAATCTACACTAGGAAGACTAACAGTTCCGGAGGTTTGTAGAAGAGTTTCTATCGTTTTCTTTTATTAACACTCAATTATAGGCTTAAAAACCGCGAAACTAAACATCCACTTCGATCTCTGGTACATTAAATTGATCTCATTGGACGCGCAAAGTCAAATGCTCAGCATTTGCCTAGAATTGAGAACGGTAACTGAGTTGAAGTTAAATAAGTTTACTCCATTTCAATGAATACTTCAGTATTGGCGAGATTCAAGACTTGCTTGGAACGAGAGTCAATTTGATGGAGTCGAGCATATTTTTGTCTATTCCGATGCTGTTTGGCTCCCAGACAATCAGATTGGAAATGCGTGAGTCTTTGAAGGGTTTGAATTCAAGTTTTTTTATGCCTATTAATCCAATAAGAACCTTGATTCGAAACCGAAAAGGTGACTGGTTCAGCAAAACAATCGATTCGGTGAAGCCGGCTGATGCACAGAGACTCGTTCAAATCTTCAGTAACGGATCGATCTACTATCCGGGTTTCTATTATACTGAAGTGGCATGCCCGATAATGGTAAGCCTAGCTATAGCCTTTAGCAATCAACTATTTTAATAGATCAGCACTTTCCCATTCGACAAGCAGATTTGCCCAATACCGATCATGTCATTAGCCTTCGATGTGTAAGGGATAAAAATAGTTTTTTTGGCAAAGAAATATTTAGAAACTCTGTTGCCTTGACCGCATCCATTGACCCATTTTTGACGATGTACACTAAACCTGAAGTGGGCTGAAGAGAAAAAGTTTACCATAAATACTGTAATTGGACCCCACTCCTCTGGTCCAAATGTAATTGGACCCCACTCCTCTAATAGTACCCCACCTTAGAGGGGGAGGGAAAAAAATAGTATCCCATGAGGTCCAATTACAGTATTTACTGTATATTAATTCAAAGTTTTAGTACATAAACGCGGTGGCGCGCGAAGTAAGCAATAACGAATATTTTGCTGTACTCACAAAGGCTTTTATTGAATGGGTTCGTTTTATCCCAATTTGGCATTCAATTAGTAGATGAACCAATAAAAAGGAACCCATTTTAGGGAAACGGTGAATGGGACGTGACTAATGTATCGACTTTTGGCACGGTTCAAGCTGGAGTGCAAATGGTTCGTTTCAAAAGCCAGCTCAGAAAAAAAACATAGCATGGCAATAGGGAAGAAATGATTGATTTAACTAAAAAATGTAAAATTTGGAAATTTTTCGGTGGCTTACCTCCTCAACATTCGCAGAGTGCCCAATTTCTACGTCTATGTGATCGCTTTGCCTTGTTTCATTCTAACTGGATTGTCCATTGTTGGAATGTTCTGGACACCAAATATCAAAAAGGAGCAACTTGTTAAGGTAAGATTAAGTTTTTCAACGAAAGATATAAAAGGATTGCAACAATGTATGTTATTTTAGCTAACAATCGGCCTAACAAGTCTTGTCTCAATGACAGTTCTATTGGAAATGCTTTCGGATGCCATCCCGAAGACCTCTGTGTTTCCATTACTTGGTATTGATAGGGTAAAACAATGAGAAACTAATAATATTCAGGGATTTATGTGGTTTGTTGTGTTGGAATCACCTCATTAGCTTCTGTTGTTATCACTCTCCATTGCTTACCAAATCCGAGAAAAGATTACGAAACACGAGAAATCGAGAGAGCATTAGAGAAGAAAAAATGTGGAATAAGGTTTAAGATAGTAAAATTTCTTTAACCAGTCGATTTAGTAGACCTCTAACTCCACGAACCATTCTTGGAATGTTTCATCGAAATACCTTCTTTCTGTTATTCTTCCAAGTATTGAATCTAGCCGGTTTTATCGTATTCTTATCGTTTTGGGATTAATAAATTTATTTTTTCGTTTATGATTATATACCGGGTGCGGCAAAAGTTCGGAGCCGCCATGAAAACGTTGCAGAAAACCTAGCTCATGCTTTTTTTTGTGTCTCGTATACTTTTTTCTTTTTTTCGAGTATAGTTAAGGTGATTTGTTAGAAAAATTTTCTTTTCAGGAGACAATTCAAAAGAATGAACGCCCAACAACGACGCAATGTGATTATCGGATTATAGCAAGGCGGAAAAAATAGTCCGAAGATTGTAAAAAGCACGAAATATCCAAAAAGCACCGTCAACAAAGCAATCAAACGCTAAAAGGAGTTGAAGAGCAAGAAGGATCGCCCTCGAAGTGATCGACCACCAACTGCCGTAGCTTCAACAGGACTGGGCTCCGGGGTATGGTGCTCACTCAACTCTCAATCAGTTGTTTCCAGTTGTTCGCAATCAGTTGTTTCCAGGCTTTTGGGATAAGACCATTTGGCCTTCAAATTCGCCAGATCTTAATCCCCTCGATTACTCCGTTTAGGCTATTTTGGAAGATAAGATTTCGATGAAGACGTATCAAACAGTGGATGCTTTAAAAGCTGCTCTGAAACAAGACTGGGTTGAAATAACTGTTCAAGAGTGCGTCACCATTGTGAGGAACTTCCCAAAGCGTTTAAAGAGGTGTATCGAAGCGGATCGTGAAGATTTAGCACATTTGTTATAAGCTATTTGTTGTTATGATTCGAATAAAGAATTTTTTATTAATTTTTGACCTTTTTAAGCTATTTTTTAAATCTTTAACTATCTTAAGAAGCGGCTCCAAACTTTTGCCGCATCCTGTATTTGACACCTATTTATGAATCGGTTATTCGTATTCTGTTTCTGATTTAATTTGAAACTCAAAACTAGAGAAACGCTGATACTTGGAAAGAAGGTGCCAAACAAGAATGTCGGAGGCCCATTTCTTTCCTTCGATTAATCCAATTTCGTTCCTTTTCTGTTGCTTATTAAAAAAAACGCGCTTACATATGCACTTTAATCAACTTTTCGGGGCCAATCTTCCGGTCAATCTGTTATATTTGCCAACTTGCTCAATTCAAGCAATTATTCAACTTTCAATCAAGCACCATCCACGTTTCTGCATTTCACCTCAAATAAGTCTTCAAAAATGCTCTATGTGACTTTGTCGGTTCTAACAAAAAGTTTTTTCATTAAATTTCAAGATGCTATCTTAATGTTCATCGTGGCATTTGGATTGATAGGTTGGTTCGATTTGGTTCATTCTTTCTACTCTATAGTTTCGGATGAATCGCAGTACAAAGTTCTTGGCTATAAAGAGCTTAAAAACTTTTAGGACTTTATGCATTGTTGATCTATATAGAAGAGAAATATTGGAGCCCATTTCCTGTCGATGTTGGGACTCCTGACTACGAAGGCGGAAATGTCACCATTATCGAGATCAACGGCACTGAGATTGCCGTCGATGCGCCAATTAGTCAGTCAACAAATTCGGCGAATCCGTATCAATTAGATGACGACATCGCCAATATGATTACAACGGTTACTCTTGTGGTGGGCTAGATGAAGAAAATGAAGTCAAATCACAGTCATTCTGCTATAACACGTGCGAAAGACCTTGAAGCGGCGGTGAAAAATAACTTTCGCTTCTCACAAGAAGCTAATTTTTCTTTGAGAAGCCAAACTCGATATTTATTTGCTTAATTGGTGTGTGCTTGGTCACAAATCTCCATTTGGAACGCCCGAATCAAATTCCAATTCCAGGTGATTGCTCTAAGCCTCATCACCACTTCATTGGCCGCTTTCTTTGCGGCCACCAATGATCGATTGGCATGGCCGATACGGTGAGTTAAGCACATTAACACTTCAAACACGCCTTTACTCTTGATTACTCTATGTATTACCTTAGTATTAGAGGAAATACGGCAATTCAGCTTATTGATCACCGCGGAGAACGTGAATAAGCTGCTCTACGCCATTTGCTTTGTGCCGGTGAAATTCTGCAATATGTCGTGGGTCGATCCAGCTATGTGCGTATAATTTAGCATCAGATAATAGCATTACGTATTTAGATGTCCTTATGAGCTATACATGATCTTTTACACCATGCTCTGGTACCCTGATAATTATGGGTTAATCGACATTGCACAGTATTGTCAGTGTCTCGTTTCGTTGAGGTTTGAAATGCCCAAATTCATTCTGGAATTCGTCAAATTGTATTAGAAACCTTCTATGACTTTAGCAAGCTAATAAATGAAATTTCAGCCGATTCCTCGTATTAGCTCTGGATGGGGCCTATTTTCGCTACACGACCAGACTACCGCTTCTTCAGCTACTCACTCCTTACATTCTCCGAATTGTGATGGGCCTTACCGTTCAATGGTTATATCAACAAAATTTCTATCCAATATACGATTCCGAATCCGATTATATCACTTATTGCATCAATACCTACCTCTGTTTGGTGCCATATTTTTTGATGTGTGGCTTAGACTTTGTGACGAATCGTAAAATGAAAATGGTATACTTGAGTTTGTTGAGTTGAAAAGAGAAGTTGTTTAGTTGAAGAAGAATGGTCGAGTCACCCGGGCGGAAAGCATGTTGATGCTTCAGGTGAGAAAGGGAATTTAAAATGAACTGAACCTTGAATAAAATGAATGAATGAATTAAAATTTAATATTAGGTTGAAACGGTCAAAATGAGAATTTTTTGCACTGTATATTTCGAAAAAACCAAACCACACATTTATTCAAGGTAATTGCCATTATTATCTATTATTCGTTGCCATTTATTGGGTAGAGCACGGATCCCCTTCTCTCAGAAATTCTTGGGCTGCGCGTCAAAGAAGTTTTGGAGCTAATTTTCGACCTCGACGCGATCTCCGTAACGCGCCCCATCCAGTTTTGCAGCCAGCTTCCGGAAAAGATGAAAATTAGAGGAAGCAAGATCAGGGCTATACGGCGGATGCGGGAGGACTTCCCAGCTCAGCTCCTTCAATTTTTGTTGAGTCAAATTTGCAACATGAGGTCTTGCATTGTCATGCAAGAAAACGACCTTTCCATGATTTGGCCGTTTTTTTGTGATTTGTTTTGAGTACAGAGAAGCTGTGACAGTCGTGCCTTCAGGTAGCAACTCCCAGTAAACTACTCCGCTCAGATCCCACCAAATGCACAACATAATCTTTTTCTGGTGCAATTCTGGGCTCAAGTTTCAGGCTCAGAGCTCAGGCGCCGGGGCCGATCCACTACTTGTGTCTCCGATAGTTGATATAAAGTACCCACTTCTCATCACCAGTAATCACGTGTGGAAGATGAAACGATAGAACCATCTGTAAGCGGTTGCTAGACTAAGTGAACCTAGCCCATAAACATGATTAATCTCCCCATAAGCACGGATAGCAGTAGAATTTTCCTTGAATTGAAATAAAAGGACATGCCGAAGAGACCCACTTCTCAACTGCCCAACTGCCGAAGATACCCACTTCGAAGATACCCACTTCCACTTCTTCTCCTTCGGTAGAGTATCGGATGCCTTCAAAGAAAGATAAAAATAAAACAGAAAATACCAATATTCCATTTGAGGTTTTTAGTAATCAATAGTTGAAGAGTGGTGTAAACAAACCTTTTTTAATCCGAATGCTGGGGAATACTGATAAAAAAATTCTTACTTTGACCTAATACTCTTTATTAATACACTAGCGGAAAACGCTAAATAACGTTCGCGTTTTTCACTGGAGAGGTCCACGTTTTCTACACAATCTAAGCCCTGCTCCTTTTTGTCAATGGCTGTGCACAGACGGACAGACAGACGTCTCTTCTGAGCTATATATAGTATATAGGGTGAAATAGACTTCTAAATCTTAGCCCTTTGAAATATTCAGTCAAAGACGAAGCTATTGAAGTTTCGTTTGAAAGAAAGGTCTGACTTAATTCGTTTATTTTTAAAAATTCTTCGATTTTCAGATGATTGGCAGTTCGTTTCTAGTCTTTATCAGATATATAATTGCTAACATTATTCTGATTATACTCAATCTATTCTGTTCCAGCGAAGCGTATAAAATTTTTTACAATTTGCAAGATTTCATCACGGCGCTTTTATGCAATTTGGGCGGCAGGTGAGACTTTGGTAGATAGCAACAATTTCTAACAACAAATGAACGCTTGTCATTAATAATAATCTTCTGGTTAATATTAATCTTCTGATTAAAACGTTTATCATTAGTGTTAGTGTTATTAAAGTCTTAAAGATAAATACTCGTGATTTCAGTGCGATTTGTGTGTTCTGCCTTCGAAAGCCGAAGGAGCGAGTACAGAACGAGAGACCAGTAATCGCCATGTTTGTCCCATCGAAATGATATACACCAAGGATTCATTAAGAAAAACAAAAATTTGATTTTACTAGTAACTCTTATAAATAGTACAAATAAGTGATCCAGAATATAACAACAGAAGAGAAATACAAAAGTTTAAGTGCTTCTGGTAGTTCTTCTGGTAGTTTAAGTGCTTCTGGTACTTCCATAATTATTCTCATGCCTGTGATTTGCTCCGACAGACACTGCCTGCAATAAACTGATTGAAAGTATTTAAAAAAGAAATCTATAAAATGTTTTCTCCAAAGGTATCAGCTTTTAAGTATCATTTCAAATCTTTAGAATCATCCCAAAACAATCTTCCTTTGAATTTCTCTTCCAATTATACCAAAGATCTGCTGGTCCGGAATATCCTGGATTTACGGAATTTCCAACTAATCTCTTTTTTTTATTCTCTCAAACAGAGTCATCAGCCCAATGAGAAACTTCTCCAATACGACTGTAGATCTTTCACATTACAAATCCAACTGCCTTTTTTTTCTAAGCGCTGGTTAATGCTAGAAATATGTGTTATATCTCAAAAATCACCCATTTTCTCTATTTTAATTTGATATCTAGAAACAAACGTACTAGTGCCGAGGTATGAGCGTTTGTTTGAGAGTAAACTTAGACTACGCGACGTTCCTATAGAGGGCGCTATTATTAAAGCTTATAGTAGCCCCCCACCCCTATAGGAGCGTCGCGTAGTCTAAGTTTACACTCCAGGAATCGCTCATATCTCGGCGCCCAGACACTCGTTTCTGTGCACTTAGGTATCAAATTAAAGTAGAAAGGATGGGTGATTTTTGAGATATAACACATATTTTTAGCATTAACCAACCCTTAGAAAAAATGATTGAAGATCGGCGAAAATCGACTCTGGGCGCCGAGATATGAGCGATTCCTTGAGTGTAAACTTAGACTACGCGGCGCTCCTATAGGCGGGGGGGGGGCTACTATTACAGCTTTTACGGTATTCGTGATCTCAGAAAACAATGTTCCGTCATTATTTTACTTTTGTGGTCAACATTGGCCACAACAAAAAAAGCATTCATTATAAAAGAAAATCTATTAGAACGTGGAACTGTTTGTGAAGGTTTTTTGCAATGTTTCCAAATGCCAAAAGATTATGCGACTTTACAAGAAGAATTCTACGAAAACTGGAATGCAGAGGCTTGTGTGGAATACAAGAGATATTATGGATTCAATCGATATGGATGGAATGGATTGACGATCACTACAATGCCCTTGTTGGGTGGTCGACGAGTGCGATTTGTTGGGCTTATCTATATATCTAAATCTCTAGTTTCAGATGGGCTTTTTCGGAATGGAAATGAGCTTGACAACAGCTATTTTGGTTCTCAAAAATCGATGTTGATCAAAATCATCTATACCTCATTTTGTGGATGTCTCCTCACCGATTCCCTCTTTCATTACCATGAAACATACTGTGTTTTGACGTCAGTTTTTTTTCATATAAATACCTCTAAAATCTATTCTATTTCAGCTGAGAATACGTGAATACGAAGCGCGGTTTATTTACCGGGATCCTCATCAGCCAGATCCTCAGTGCCATAATGCTAGACGAAGAACCTCTTTTTAGGAGAAGGCATTACCATTCTTTGATCTAATATCGTTCCATTTCTCCGTCAATCTCTTCTCTTTATATATCCCCACGAATATACACGAACAAGAGCAAAGAAAGGGTGACAAATCCCCTTCTGGGGATCTCCTCGCTGATCGACGGGTATTTCGATTCAATACTCATGTCAAGAGAAAGCATTGATATATCACAAATATACGCCATAGAAGCGTCACTAGCTTTTCGTCTTTCACAGATCTCATTATATTTGAAACATTCAGAGATTTAAGATCATTCGAGTGGGAGATGAGGATACTAAGGCTATTCTTCATTCATGCCATCCTACTATCCATTATTGACGCTTTTTTCAGGTAAATTTCAATCCAGGACAGTTTAGAAAAGCTCTCTCGATTATTAATCAACATTCTTTCTAGAATCCCACTCACTCGTCATCCCACAAACAGAACCCGTCCCTATGCATATCGGGGAAAGTTCTCGAGAGTAACTCTTGGTGGATGGAGTGAGAATCTATCCAATTTCATCAATGTAAACCCTTTGAATATTTTCGTGTTTATTCTTTTAGTATATTTACTTTGGGCCAATCCAACTCGGCACTCCACCACAAACAGTCACGATCGACTTCGATACGGGCTCTGATCAATTCTGGACCACATGTAATTGTGCTGCCGGTGATATTGTAGCATTTTTGCGTGGGGAGCCAAATTATTGCAAATCACATAGAAGGATTGTAAGTCTAGTTTAGTTAGATACGCCACCAGAACCTTACAGTTCAATCCGAATCGATCAAAAACGAATCGAAAGACGTCGTCTCCATTCAGCGTCACTTATGGGATTGGATACGTTCAAGGGACGGTGATGTTTGATAGAGTTTGTGTAAGTGAAAGTAAGCGAATCGAGTGAATAATGAAACATTTAGATCCCAGGGGTCAGACATTGTAGTTCTGCTCAAACAAGGGTTGGCTGTGCCTCATACACGGACTCGGCTTTTAGGGTGGGACTGATGAGAAAAGAGCTGAAAAGGTTCTAAAATTCTTTACTATCGAGCTTTTTTTGCTATTAAGATTCTTAGTATTGTACTCTTCGCTATATTCTTTTCAGAATGCTCCCGGCGATCAGGATAGCGACGGTCTCATGGGCTTAGCGTATGTCTATGGAACGATGGGCAGATCGCCGATCCGATCAATATTCAATAGGGTAAAAGCTATAGAGAAGCATCGAGAATCTTCTTTAGTCTAACTGCAAACGTAAGATTTTTGCTTTCTACCTAAATAACAGTGGCGAGAAGGAGAGAAGTGAGATGACGCTCTGTGGAACGGATCCAGCGCATCATAGAGTGGGTCATATTATAGCCAGTCAAACCTCTACTAAACCACGATTTCAGGGGAAAATCCGTTTCCTGAAAGTGGCAAAATCGAGCTATTATTGGACGCTAACATTGGATAGAGTATACATCAGAAGTAGAGTGGTATTTTTGTGTTTACTTTTACAATACCCAACTTTTTTCATCAGGCATGGGCCCGATCATCGAGTAATGCCATTCTCGTTGACACCGGAACTACGGGAATCTATCTACCTGAAAATCTCTACAGAAAGGCATCCAATTATCATATACTATTGTTCTCAAAAGCGTATCCTCTAGATTCTGGCAGCATGTGTTGGCTGTAAATGTCCCAATCTGACCTTCAGCCTCAATGGCCATTTGTTCACACTACCCGGCAGATATTATGTGGTTTGTACAAAAATAAAGATCTAAAAATTTAATATCTTAAAGCAAAACTGCGTCTTTCTCATCTTTCCATCATCAGAATTCTCTCGATTCCCCGGCCTGGGGGCAAATTGGATTCTCGGCGATGCATTCCTTCGAAGATTCTATTCTGTTTATGATTATGCTCATGGATTGGTTGGATTGGATGTTCGAGCTTAGGGAATCATTGAATCACCTACCGTAAATACTGTAATAGTGCCCCACCCCCCTCGTACAGTCGCGTAGTCGCATAAGTTTTTTAGTCTTTCATTTTTTCAAAGCGCTCGTACTTTCAAAAAATGTGTCTTTGGTATCAAAAAATAGTTGAAATCCAGGGCTATTTTTTGATGCCTAAGCGCGCATTGTAGCGTAAACCAGTGTCGAAAAAACTCGTTCAAAGCTAGACTACGCAACACTCCGCATCGTTATTATGGGGGTGGGGTACTATTACAGTACTTACGGTAGTGTATCCTGTTTATGGAAGAAATTATAATTTATTATCATCAATAAAATATTAAATTATAGATTTTAAGTTAATTTCAAAAAAACTATTTACAATGTAGTGTTCAAAAAATAAAACGTATTTCGAAATCAATAAACACCTTGGGTAAAGGCAAAGATAATGTTGTAGGGAGGAAAAGGGGGTAGAAAAAAAAAAATTTGATGAGCAAAGCCCAGATAATGATCTAAATCTAAGTCATAAAGATTTGCTGGAAGTTCGCGTTTGGACTCGGTTTGAGTTAGAGTGGCTGAGAACGAGAGTTTGGTTGGTTTGTTAACCTCGACTGGCAGATTCTCCAATCCGCTGGCGCGCCTGAATGGTTTGGATCAAATGTCGGTCGCGCAACCTCTCGATGGCGATTTTTTTCAGAACCTGTTTGCGACTTATTTCTTCTTGTTTTTAGAATCTTTCTTATAAGCCTTAATATTTTTCTGAGTTCACCCGGTTGCAAGTCACCCCATAGGCATCTTGGAAAATAAAACTAAAAAGTGCAAGACTTGTTGGTGATCCCGAATTGCATTTTGCCAAAAAAGGCTAGATCTAGTCTTTTTTTTAAACACCTTGGGTAAAGGCAAAGATAGTGTTGTAGGGAGGAAAAGGGGGTACAGAGGATTCTTTTTACAATCGTCAACCCGTCACCCCTCTCTCGGATAGGTTGAGGAAAAGCGGGAAGAGCAAAAAGAATTGGAAGAGATTTCAAAATAGCCTTATTGAAAATGGAAACACGTACATAAATGTCTGAATCAACTATTAGGTTGATGCAAAAGTCTTTCTCATTTTTTTCGTAGTTCCGTTAAAAAGTAACAAATGTACCAATTGAACAACGGTTTATTGCATTCGAAAGGCCAATTATTTTTCTGCAAAATGACATTAAAACGAGTTTAAAATGTCTTATGTCTAGATTTTTTTGAGAGCCTGAAGTCGGGTAGTCAAAAAAGGCGACGGCTCGATGATGCATTTTAGACGCTTTAGCTAAGGAAACCAATCTTGATGTTAATAAATAAAAGATAGAGCACAAAAAGTTAGATATTTTTTCAGATTTTCAGAGAAATTGATTCAGCCAATTTCTTTATAGAGGTTTTTATAGATTTTTGTGAAAAACCCGTTTTCACTCTCGAATTTGCTTGAAAGTGAACCCAAATTGACTTAAAAAGATGGGAAATTGAACAATAAACACTTTTCATTTAGAGCAAACCATAGGTTAATTGATGACTTGTTATTTTTCAAAAGAAGTACGAAAAAAATGAAAAAGACTTTTGCATCAACCTAATAAAATCGAAATACTTTTGAAGTTTAAGAATGTTATCAGATCTCAAGTGAGCTAGTTGAAAAGCTGGAAAACTCTGAAATGGCATTGAATTCATAAGTTTAAAATTTTGCACAAATAAAACATCATTTCTCAAAGTCGTTTTGACGATTTGACTTTTGTATTATATCTAGTCGTTTTCGATGGAATAGATTTGTCTATTTCACATGATTGAGTCAAACAGACATTTGCCCATTTGGGGAAGAATTTCCAGCAATTTTAATGGAATCGTTGTAGACCATGGAATGGGATGAATGGCAAAAAGGTTCATTTTTTTTAACTCACTGAAGCCGCTAAAAAGATTCGGCTAGAACTTACTGAAATGAAATGAACATTACCAGGCTTGTTCAAATTACAAAATTGAACACAACAAAAACCACTCAAAAAAAACTTCTGATTCAATTGAAAATTCGGTCAAAAAGTCAAAGTTGATGCAATCGATTGTGGTTGCAGCGAAAATAAGGCCTGTGATAACACTTTTCTTGCTGACTCATAGGGTAAATCGACAACACCTAAGAAAAGGCCTATTTTTTTGAGTTTCACTCTCTCTTTCTATTTAAATCTTAGGGTATATTTGTTTATTTTTGCCTAAAACTTGGGTCGACTAATTCCATTTAACATGGAGAGCACCGCACAAATTCCAACGGATCCCCAGCTCAACACCAGTGAAAATCGCGAACATGGTGAGGTTATTTTTCACAAAACGTTGAAATGTTGGTTAGGCAAAACGGCCGAACGCCGAATACTTTGAAACTTTTATTAAAAAGCCAGAATATTCAGCAAAAATAACCATTTGTGCTCATTTTGTGCGTTTCTTGCTGAATTTCTTAACTTTCCCTATCAACGCATCAAAATTTGCGGCTAATCGGTGCAACTTTTCTGACGTTTTCTGACGTTTTCTGACGTTTCTGACGCTCTGACGTCACTCTTAAACGCGCTATAATAGTACAAGTTGTTTATGTACTAAAGAAATGCTTGTTGTTTTTCAGCATGCAATTTTCCCGTCGACTATGAGAGACATACGGATGTGGAAATGTTAATCCGTGAGGAAGATCATCAACGCACAAGGCATCGTTCTACTAACATACGGGGTGGCGCTAGAGAGGGGGGCACTAGTGAGAGTGGGGCACTAGTGAGAGTGGGGCACTAGTGAGAGTGGGGCACTAGGCGACTTTGCCGACATTCTGTTATTATAAGATTTTTATAAAGAGTACATTTGATAAGTGAAATAACAAAAAAAAACGATCGAATTGATTATTCAGTTTTCAGGAATGGCCATCGGCCGATGGCTTCACGTGACGCCGCATGTGTTACTCTTTCCTGTGCAATAAAAATCTCGATTTGCTGTATGTTACTGAAAATTCTTTCAACTTCACTACTCTACTCAAAACTTTAGGTCTCCTTGTAGTAATCGTCGCGATTCTCATCTTCATTTTTCTCATGGAGATGTACGCTAGGGGTTTACCCCATTGACTTCAATGTTCGTCGTACTTGCCTAAACAAAATTTCATGTTATTAATCTCCAGTTTGATCAATAAATTTTCCAAAAGTCCCTTTTTGCAAGTTAAGCAGTTGAGCAAAGGAGCTTTAGGTTCTCGCGGTTTCTCGGTTTCTCAACTCTTATCATGGTTGAGCGCCTGAGCAAATCGCCGGATGAAGCTTGTAAAGAAAGGTTCCCGCAGATGGAATGTATTGCTTTTTGAAGACAAATAAGGAATCCTGTAAATGTCCTGTAGACATGTAAACTGTAAAATCTGTAACAATTGTAAAATTTGGCACAAAAAACTGGTTTTTTATTGCTGTAAAATAATCATTTGATCAATTCACCCCTTCTACCCCTTCACACGACCGGGTCTCACCGTGTCTACCTCCATCTTCAGTCCAGATTCCCCTGCATTGACCATTGCCAAAACCTCTATTTTGGCAACAATCCCATACATTGGATTTCCCCTAGAATTTTTCATTTTAGCAAATAATTCTTGGTAAAGAAAAACGGATTTTTATAAGATTTAAACTTACATTTTGGCAAAATCCATCGCATTCCGGAAACCATTTATTCATTTTTTCTTGAGTATTAACTAACAATTTTCAGAAATTATCGATTTCACGAAACGCTTACCGTTTAAACTTAAGCAAAAAAAGGAGAAAAGCGAGCATTTTCTTGAAGGAACACCCTTTTGTTTACCAAAATTGAAAAGCAAATAGAACTCGATGCATTTCAAAAGCGGATTCAAAAAAATAGTTTCTCGCGTGGTTTGTACGTTTTTTAAACAATTCCCAAAAATGGTCACGCGAAAGATTGTTGAGATTTTTAATTAGCTCCAGAATGGCACGTTACCGCCAAGTTAAAGATAGAAAATAGAGCTAAAAACTACAAAATTTAGAAATTGTGTTTTTAGGTTTTTAGAAAATTTAAATTTGATTTTTTATTATTTTAGATTCTTCAAGAACTGTTCGAAAACCAAGATAAATCGGCAAAAGAGTTTCGGGAACTAATTCGGCAGCACAACAATGGACTTGCGTTAGCTTCTATGATCGCTGATATACAAACTTCAAAAGGTCATGACCCTTATTGTTTTAAAGTTCATGGACTGGTTGGTTTAACAGTTTAATTAAGAATAATAACTGCAGCTTTTAACTGCAATAATAACGAAGTTATTAGGTGTATCGTTGTATGGGAGATCTCCGACCACCTCCCGGACAACAACACAAGTTTGCTCAAGTTTACATTCTTGATTCAAATGAAACTGCCCAAACACTTACTGAATCACCTGCAAATCAAAAATGTAACAAGACAATTTTTGAAGGTTTACACAAATGGATTTCAACCAACAATCAATTTGCAAAATCTTTGAAAACAATGCAAGAAGTGGTAAAAGAGGAAGAAGGAAAAGCTAGCGCAGAAAAACGAGAACCACATCGAATCAAAATGATTATTGACTCAAATAGAAATCTTGACAATCTTGACAAGAGCATTTACAACGAAATTGTTGCAGAAAACGGAATAGCTGCTATTTACCGTGGTGATAAAGACAAAGAATTTGCAAGAAAGACAATTGATAATTGTGGATCAAGGGGAAAAGAGAACTTTTATTAGCGAGGCCGATCCAAAAAGCGACCCTCTGACTTATCCACTTCTATTTCCTAGAGGAGATTTTGGATGGCAACCAAAAATAAAGAAAAAAAAGTTTTAAAAACGATTCGAGAAGAATGATCAGGAAAATGTAAATGATCTCGAAAATTCTAAAAATATTTCAATGCGTGAATACTATGCTCATATCTTATTTTCAAGAAAGGGTGTATTTAACCCAATTCTTCACGCCGGAAAGCTTGCTCAACAATTCATTGCAGGGTAAAACCTGGGCAAAAGTCGAACAGAGTCAACTCAAATGGATCCGACATAATCAAACTAAAATTTGTGCGGACTGCTACAAAGACTTACAAGATTTTATTCAACAAGATGCGGTGATTCCAGGAGAAAGCTTCAAATTGGTTTCCATACCATACTGGTCACCCCGTATGGTGAAGCGGAAAACCGGATTTCTGAAAATCCCAAATCGACCCTCGCGTGATTGGCTAAAAAAAACAGAAACCATCCTTTTTTTACATTTTTATTTGAAATTTGCAAAGCACATTGAATTAGTGATGAATTAATTGGTGACGGATCAAAGTTGCATGAAGGCAAAGTTGCCACTAGCTCATAGTTGATCTGTTCAGCATTCTGTCTTTTTGTGGCCCCCATAAAATTTGCTATGGCTTCAATCGTTTGTCTTTTCTTAGTGCCACTTTTTTCTTGCTTCTATGTTTTGCAATATTTAAAAAAAACAACGAAAGCGTTTCATTTCTGTTTTTATCTCAAAGAAACGAGGAGCGATCGCTGCTGATTGGCGCCGAGTGCGACGCGACCGCACCGCATGAAACGATTCAAAGAGATCCAAATTCGAAATGCTTTTGCCGTTTTTTTACACCCTCCATCAACGTATCATTTGGCAAAGCTCGTGTACTCTGATTTCAGTCATTATCTGTTCTATTTTGGGGAGTACATCAACGAAACGTGAGTTAAACGATTTCTTGAAGACTTTCTACGTTAGTATTGGGTTGATGCCTAATTAATCGCCGTTTCTCTAACTCTAAACTTCACCCATCAAGACCTCATCTCTCACAAAACTCATACAAATCTCAAAAAAAATTACTTTTTGTCGCAATCAAAAAAAATTTTCTTGTAATCTTGTGTAGAATTTAATTTTCCATTTAACTGCAAAGTTTGGAGGCAAAAAAAACTCATTTATGAAGCTAGGAGAGCTAAAATCGTGAGACCATCCATTTCCGAAATAGGTAAACTTTCACGAACTCGTTCTCTAGATAAGAACATTGCCTACTTCACATTTATAGCTCATTGAATCGGTGTTTACATCAGCTACGATTTTCTTTGGAACCATTCTAGGCGTTTACTTTCCAATTTTGGCTTTAGACGCTTTTGTGAAAAAATGAGATTTTTTCCAAATGAACTTTTTCCTCAAACCCTTATAAAAAAAGTTTTGCGTAATTTCCTGAAGCTTTCTGTAGCTTAAAAATATTTTGATGTATCTAGCTTTGAAAGGAAAAAAGAAGACGAGAATCGGTTGAGTAGTTCTCGAGAAACCTAATCCCGAACTTGACTAGTCAGAGAAACGGCAGTTAATTATGCATCAACCCAATATTAGGTTGGTCCACATGAAGTTTTGAATTTTTGAAAAGTCTCGAACTTTCTCATTTTACTAGATTTATTTACTTTTTTGTATTTGATAGAGGAGATAATTCACTTTTATTTTAGCCAAATAGGTTAAATTTTTATTATGAAATTTCCAAGAAAACTTGTGCAAAAGTTGGACAAACTTTGCAGTCTCTGGGAAACTTGATTTCACCATGAATTTTCCAATTTTTTTAGCCATTAGGTGGATAAAATCCTTAGGTACCAAATTCGTAAGTTTGAAAAAGTTCCATGGCAGAATAAGCCGGAAAACATTTTTTGAAATAACCTCAAAATTGGGCAATTGAACAGTTTTGGCAGTTTTGTATAGAGTATTTTCCTCTCGGTTAATGCGTTTCCCAAAAACGCGTGCTCAAAAAAAGCCACCGTATACGCGACGTAAATTTTCTTTCAAAATTTCAAATACAAATTATTATTCGAAAAGTTTTGTTCAAATTTATTACTCAAAAAAGCGTTATTCAACACTAGCATCTGCTTTTCTAAAAAAGCCACTAACTCCGGTAATTTTTTTAAAGTTTGAAACTTTGCAGAAAAAAACTGTCCTCGTTATCCATTTGACATTGTTCCACATGTTGTTACTGATTTCTGTTGCTCGTAGTGCCGAGTTAATTTTAAAATAAATCCTATTAGACAAAGAGCTACCGTAAATACTGTAATAGTATCCCACCCCCCATAATGACGGCGCGGAGTGTTGCCTAATCTAGCTTTGAACGAGTTTTTCTCGACACTGGTTTATACTACAATGCTCGCTTAGGTATCAAAAAATAGCTGAAATTCAGGGCTATTTTTTGATACCAAAAGCCTTTTTCACAGACTCGCTTTCTCTTGAAGTCGGTAAAGCACAATTTGTGTAGTTGGTAAAGTAGGTAAAGCACAATTTGCCCAATTTACATTTTAAAAAGAAATCTTGTCCTAAAATACAACTTTCTAATGCTCTAAACAATCGCAAGATGCAAAAGACACCCAACACTTGCTCTTGCATCTTTCAAAATTGTATCATTCTTTGATTTTCAACAAACAAGAAATTCCAGTCAAACTACGGTAAATATTGTGATAGTACCCCACCGCCCATAATGACGGTGTGGAGTGTTGCGTAGTCTAGCTTTGAACAAGTTTTTCTCGACACTGGTTTATACTACAATGCGCGTTTAGATATCAAAAAATAGCCCTGAATTTCAGTTATTTTTTGATACCAAAGACGCATTTTTTGAAAGTACGGACGCTTTGAAAAAAATGAAATACTAAAAAACTTTTGCGAGTACGCGACTGTACGAGGGGAGTGGGGTATTATTACAGTATTTACGGTAAGTTAAAAGAAAAGAAGCAAGCAAAAAGTCTAAAAAGCATCAAACATAAAAAAATTTCAAGGGACGCCGTTGCTTGTAATAATATGCATTCGAAAAAAATTTGCATAAATCATTTTGTTTAACCGTCCCTTTAACCGAGTTTAACCGCCATTAACCGACTAAGAAAACAATTATGCAAATTTATTCGGTTAATTCTCTAACCGCGAGGAACACACTCTAGTTTTGTAAGCCCAAAGGCGTGCATTGCAGAAATTTTGCATGCAAAGTACATACTTGATTGCGCGCCTTCTGGCATGCAAAAACTTTTTTCGGCGAAACTTTCGGTTCAACCAGGCAAATTTGTTTTCAAATTTATCATTATAATACCTAAGGGCTTTCTCTACTCAAAAGAGCTCTATTTCTTTCAAACTTTCTCTCAAAGGCACGGGGAAAATCTATCTAAAGTTTCCCGGAGACTGTAAAGTTTGCCCAACTTTAGCACAAGTTTGAATAAAAATTTAATCACATAATTTTACTTTTGTATGGGCAAAAAAAAGAGAATTATCTTCTCTATTATATCCAAAAAGTGTAGAAAGTTCTATGGTAAAATATAGAAATTAGAGCGTTTTCAATACATAGCTTCATATGGAGCAACCTAAGAGTTCCTTTGCAAAAAAATAAGATGCATAATTAAACGTCGTAATCGGTTTGGCTTTTTTTCTTCGTGTGTTACCACGACCCCGAAAACTGAAATCTCGGCTTTTCCAGTTTAATCGCAAATGAAAAGTGATCGAATCCTGCATATTAACAGGGAGCCTCAGTGTTCTAACTTTGAAGTCTGACTTCTCAGTAAACATATTAAAAAAACAGCATTTACCATCGTGAACTTGTAGAGCTTGAAAAAGCGGGTGAAATGAGCTTTCCGTGTTTAAATTTCATTGAGTTACAGTTTCTCAAAGGTCGCTTGCTTTCCGAAAGATCCGAAAAGTCAAACCAATTACCGTGCCAATTTCAGGGCAATCATTAGTGAGAGTGTTTTTGCAAAGAGATTGATAAATAAATCGCGGTCTAATACAAAAAAATCCAACCGTATTTCTTTCCAGATGGCCGGCGAGCTCGTCGAACTGGAGGGACGGGTGAGGGAATATCTGTCGAAGCACGATGCTTCGCACGACTTTTCACACATTCAACGAGTCGTGCGGAATGCGAGACAAATCCTGGAAGAGGAACGAGTCGCCAATCCGAGCATTGACGAGAATTTGGTGGTTGTGACCGCCCTGGTGCACGATGTCGGAGATTTCAAGTACTGCAAAGACGCAAACGTACAACGGGGGCATTTGAGAACAATTCTGGACGGATTGGTGGACGAAAGTGTGCAGCGGCGTGTCGTCGAAATCGTCGCCAACATGTCGTTTCGAAAGGAGCTCGAGCAACGGGAAGCCCCAATCCAGGAGTCGCTCGAGTTCAAGATTGTGCAAGACGCCGACCGATTGGATGCCATTGGAGCGATCGGACTGGCACGCTGTTTCGTGTACTCTGGAGCCACCGGGCAACCGATTCTCAGCGCCGATGCGATGCGCGATTCCATTGATTTGTTCGACTTTTTCAAGGATTCGAAACTGACCGCCGAACGCTACAATCAAGCGGCCATCCGGAACGACGGCAATGCTGTTGGGCACATTTTCGAGAAATTGTTGACGCTGAAAGATCGTATGAAGACGACCGGCGGCAAGAGAATTGCTGAGGAACGCCATGCTTTCATGCTCTCATTTCTTCAGCAACTCGGATCGGAATTGAAATAAGCAAAGAGGAATCATAAAGATAAATAAAGCGGTGATAAAGATAAATAAAGATTTTAAAGAGCCAAATGACTTTATGGAACTTTCGAAATGAAGAACATTTGAGAAGTTCACCGTATTTGCTCTAATCGTAACACAAAAAATCCAGTTTATCGAGTTATTGGAAATGAAAAGAGTTACCCGTATTTTCTTTAATCATTTAAGCAAAGACTTTATTTAACTGTTTTTTGCTGCTTACATTTCCCCCCGAAAGATTTATACATATCCGTTTACACTTCTGCTTTTCAAAAGCTGATTAAAGCTCTAGATTAGCCTTATCAAAAAGTTCAAAAAAAGAGAGAGTGTGAACTGTGAGAAGATCATTGATTGCAAAAAGAAGATCCGGGCAATAAATTGATTATTTAACGGATTCCTGGAAAGCATAACAATTCCGATTGAACGTCGGATCGGATGATTTCGTTTCGAATGAAGAATATCAACTTTTGTTTCATCAACGAAAATCACTCGGGCCCAATCATCGACTGTCCAACTTGAATAGGTTCGAGCAAATTGAAGGCGCTACCTCCTGTGTTTGGCTGTCATCATCGGCTTGCGGTCTTCTAGTATACAATGCTGCTTGAAGCAAGCGTCGATGCAATTTCCAGCGGGAAAGATTCTTGTTTGCTTGAAAAGAATAGCTCCATCGTTCAACATCAAATTCGGGTCCTTCTTGAAAGCACCCCTAAGGAATCGGTCTTCATTCTTTTTTGTAATCCTCGGTCGTCCCTTTTCCCTACATCTGTGCACATTTCCAGACGCATTCATTTTCGCCATAACAAGAAAAACTGTTGTGGGCGTACATCCTAAGAGGCGAGCAACATCTTGCCGTGGCATTCCTTGCTGCCTTGCCGTGACTATCAATTCTTTATCCGGAGTTGATAAATACGCTCCTGGAATCTAAAAAAAATAAATTACTACCGATAAATAAAAGGAGAACAAAAATAATAAAAATTTTGGCAAGTGTTAAAAGATTTTTACACCACGATTTCCAGGGATGTTTTGATAATTATATTTTTCTTGATGAATAAGTGTTGTACAGCAACAACGTTTGTGTATTGGGTTGAGGAGAATGAGTCGGCGCCCAACTTTAAAGGGACTTTTTGCACACATAAAGCCTTCTTTAAACATACGTTTGGTTTCATCAAAAGGATCCACTATTTCTCTACAAAATGACTTTTGAGAGATTCCACAAAGCTTTTCTATCGTGGAGTTTATGAACTTCCAAACGCAGCTGGTTAAAATGGCAAAGAGTCCGACTCATCGTTTGAACAGTTTCTTGCACATAAACCTTCTTTGGTGTTTATATAAAAAAGATAGAGCACATTCAATTACTTAAGTTGCCAAATTTGCAGGAAGATCCCACCAATGGTTTTTTCTAGATCACAGTTTGTAGTCTTTGTGAAAAAATGGCTTTTTCTTGAGCGGAGGCGCTGTTTGAATTTTCTTTTAAATGTCATTTTGTAGAGAATTAGTTAACCATTCTACTCATATCAAACGCATATTATTTGACGAAGTCGAATAGAAGTTTTAGACATTTTTTTCATTTTCGGCGCCGACTCATTCTCCCCAACCCAATAAATAAATTATACATATATTAGGTTGGCAAGTAAGTTCATAGAAAAAGTTTGCACAGTGATTTCTTAAAAACCAAGCGATCAATTTTTCCCAAATTTTTTTTTGATAAACTTGACTATATTTCAAAAAGTTTTTGACAAAAAAATCAGAGTGGATTTGAGGTAAAAAATAAGTGACCAAGTCAGCTAAAGTGACTTGGTCACTTTCTGAGTGATCAATCTTTAGACAAGTTTTTAATGGGCTAATGGATAGGCAATGTGGTCCCATTCAAAATCTAAAATAAAGCACTTAAAATAGGGAAATTTTGCGATTAAGGCAAATTTTATCTAATGCTTTAATTTTTCATAATGGCTTATTTCTAGCAGATATCCCCGCCGTCTAGTAATAAATGCTAGTAACCCACATAAAATGATCATTTTTGAGCTATTAAAAACTTATTCCGTTTGGCGATTCTAGTTGAAAAAGACGAATAAACTGAACTGCATGTGTCGATTTCAGAATTTGTGGTTGACCGTCAAAAGTTGATTCACATTATTTTATTCGCATTACCTTCAGGGATCATTCGAGCGCCAATAATGAGACTTTTATTGGTCGGAATCTGAAAAGAGCAGAAAAACTGCCTTGAAAATAACAAATTGAACTTTAAACTCCCGTATTTTTAGGATTTCGAAGTTATTAGATAAGTGAAACCAGCCTGAACAACAAAAGCTAACCATGCAAGAATTTTCGAACACCCTTAGAAAGGGCACTGCTGTCATTTCAGGCATCGCTTTGTGCACATCTATCGTTCCATGAAAGAGCCAAATAATTTTCATCGATCGACATTCAGCAAAAAAGAAGAAGAGGCTAATCATCAAAAGTAAAGCTGAAAGTTTTTGAGATAATCCCTTTTTTATCTCGAGCTTTCCGAAGCTTAGTCCCTTGGCTTACGAGAGAATAGTCTCAGCTCAAAGTTCGAAATCGACTCGAAAGACAGTGCAAAGCATAGAATCGGCAATGGCGAACAAAATGCCGCAAAAGTTAGCCGCTAATAGCCATGGGAACGAGAGGAATCTGGCATGCAAAATCGGGAGTCAAAGCAGATTCCTTCATAAGACTTCTCTCGCTGCCGGTCACAGATGGGCCTAGGCCTAGTGGATAGTCTGTGAAATCCGATCCGACTTTTGCCCTCGGGTTCAATTCCGCCAATATGCAAAATTTTCCGTTTTATTTTTGCAAATCTTGAAAACATTTAAAATATACAGATTTCTCTCTTATAAACTTTTATGCTTTGTATAACATGCTTTTTATTGCTTTAAGAACGAAATCGTTTCAAGAATCGCAAAAAAAACAAAAAATTTTGCATGTGGGCGGAATTGAAACGCCATAGCCGAGTGGTTAGGAGTCTTATATACTAGTCGGGCAGTCACGGGTTCGATCCCAGCGGCCAGAGAAATTTCGCTCTTTTTCTCATGGGTTTTTTTCTGCAACATCTTTAGGGGCCATAGAGCAGTAAGGGTTGTGTGTTGAGTTGTGTATTTGTTTGTATCACATTATTCATATTGAATAAAGTTAAGCGATTACAAGCGAGAAATTATCTGCCTTGGTTAAGCTGCCCTTTTTAATCAAATCTATCAAAAAGTGAGATTCTCACTGGGAAAACGGAGAACTTTCTCTTTTTTTGATTTAGAAACTGCTTTGTTTCAATAAGGCTTTGAAGGCTGGTACTTTTAAATGCCAAGTTTGAGAGAAAACAGTGGTGATTTAAGCTTGGACCAACTTCTGTTGAAGGAAGAGAAATTAATGCCAAAACTCATCGATGCTGCTTCGTGGGAGATGAACTTTCCGAGATGTTTAATGGCCGAGCATTTCGATGCGACTTTGTTCTTGTATTGTATTTTGAATAATGTCTAATTTTTGAGACACTTATAAGCTTTTATCAATGTTTCATTAGTTCAACATTATTTGTGTACAACTAGGCTAGATGCCTGGTTTTTCAAATAAAGATTGTAAATGGAAATCCAGTTGTTGACAATTCGTCACAAGGTACACTTTCCGGAGAGCCACTTTTTGTTCACACAACTACAATTTTCCTTGTGTCCCGCTTTTTGCAAAGTGTTCAGCTTTTCATTAGCTTTTTACTATGTATAAAATTTCTATAAACTTTATGAATGATGGAAGCGATTTCGAGAATTTTTTGGAAATTTGCATAATGGCTTCGGTTTAGGATTTTGCTAACAAAAACTTCTTTTTATTTAGTTAGGTATTATTGGAGTCTATCTTGGTATTTATGGGATCATCGTTGTCAACCGAAATGCTTATTTGAAAGGTAAAGAGCCGGTCATTGGTGTAAACAATCAATTTATATTGCTGACTGAAATGAAACTGGTGCTTAGACATGGCTATTGATATTTTGGAGTGTTCACGTTAAAACGGACATATCTTGGTGATTTTAGCTCCAAATGCCCTGAAACTTTTACCAATGGAAAGCCAGAAGTTCAAGCTTCATATTAGTGCCTAATATGTACTGTTAGAAGAATCGCGCTTCTCAAAAAACCTTTTTGATACGCTATCGATACGATTATATCGATTATATCGATTATCGATAAGGGCTCGATAAAGTCATATCGATAGCGTATCGATTAAGTTTTTAGAGCTGCGTTTTGCGCGCTCTTCTAAGTATTAGGTACCAAAATGAAGCTTGAACTTTTGTCTTTCCAGTGGTAAAAGTTTCAGAGCATTTGAGTGATTCTGTGCAAAGTTATAAGATTTTTTGCGCGGATACTCCAAAAATATCGATAATATCGATAGCTAAGTCTACTGGTACTTAACTGATGTGTTTTTAATCCTGGCACTAATATAAAGCCTGGTCTTGATACTGTCAGGGTTCAGTTGAACGGACAAAAAGGACATTGCCTTTCATCTGGACATCTCTTTTAGGGATGGTCAAACAGTACTTGATCCTGGATTTGCTCGTCTTGATAACGGTCAACGCTTGCCACCTCATTTGGGGGGTTCCTTGTGCAATTTGGTTTGTTTTACAAAAAGTTTTTGATTTCTTTTTAGGAATGTAAAATCTATGCTGCCAATTGTGGATTATTTCTTCTCAAGTCCTCTCTTCACAACCGTTCCAGCCGCTTTTCACCCAAAGGTTGGCTGAAAACTTAAAATAGATGGCTTTAGAAGTGTTTCAAAACGAGTTTCAAAAAAAGATGCAGATAAAAAGAAAAATTTGCGCTCCTGGGTGGACTCAAACCACCAACCTTTTGGTCAACAGCCGAATGAGCTAACCATTGCGCCAAAGAAGCATGAGCATTGTCGAGGTGATAGCGTTGTAATAAGGCTTCAATTCCAAAAGTTTAACTTTAGCTATTTCTCGGTATTAATCGTTTCTTCGCTATTGCTTTTGATGGTCGATATTTCAAAGCTTTCGAGCGATTGAAATGGCTTCAATATATTATTCTACTGATTACCCCTCTTATTTCTTTCGTTTTGCTTTTTCTACGTAAATTTGATAAAAGTGCAAGTTAAACAAGCTTTTAGCTGGCTGCCACGCAACTTTCTTTTCCAATGGACACAATTTATTCTATCCAGAAGATGATTGTGGAGATTCGGTGATGTATTACACTGCGGTGAGTGAACAATGAGCTTTACAGTAGTATTTGTAGTAGATTTGAGAGTATTTTTAATAGTAGATTTGAGATATTGCATTATAAACAAGCGATTTTCCCCATTTTGGGCACATTCTGCTGTAAATATTGTACCTAGATGGGTAGGTATAAGTGCAATCATCTTAAGTAAGCTTTAGTTGAGTTCTTGAGTACTATTCTGCACTTGCTTACAGGATTTACTGTAAAACTGTGCAGTATTTGGTCAATACTTTCTTGATCTACACTATTTTACAGGTTTACAATAGATTATGCAGTGTAATTTGACAGAGAGCTTTCGAAAATCGATCTTTAGAACTTCCCCGCCTTTTTCTACATGCCAATTAACCTTTTCGTTGATTTAATTGTTTTAATGTTGATGCATCAACGATTCCACACGATTCACAAGGATCATTCCCATTTATCGAATTACCAACGAATCAAAGATCTGCGCAGGGAATTCAAGTTAGGAGCTCAAGTAGGACAAGATTAACTTAACAGTATTCCGAATAAATTTCAGATGGCCACGAATTTCTTAATTACTTTTGTCATGTTCATATCTGAAGCTCTATTTGGGCTGATCTCCGCTAATCCGTTTTCTTTATTCATTTTGTGCACAGCGTCTTTACAATTGAGCACCTTGATTGCTTGGTGGGGATTTTGGAAATTTCATTTTTCTACAAAATTTAGTCTTTCTTATGTGCTACTTCTTGGTGAAACGCAAAGAAAGGAAAGCTCTAGAAAAGTCTCAACTCTTCAAAACGATTTATAGATTGTGTGGCATAAAAAACGTTTAACAACATGCTTTTTGAAACTGATCAAGACTCGGGTTTTAACCGCTGGCAAGTGGCTAGAATCAGGGCTCAAGTTTTGGCATCCGAATGAGTTCTGATTACCATACTGTAATAGAAATTGTATTGGGTTAGACGAAAAGTTTGTGCGGTTTTTTGAGAGAGCATCTTAAACTCAATCAATTTGGACGTGGAATATAGCTCGTTCAAAAGCTAATTACAAAGCGAATTCAATGCAAAACACCGCCTATTGATCCATTGCGTTTTAAAGTTTTTACAGAGGTTTTGGTAGAGGTGGTCAGAGCCTAAAAAGTGCAAAAATAGCGTTTCGTCAGTTTTTCGCTTAAAAACCTAGACTAAAAGACATGTTTTTTGAGATCAAGGGTACAAATTACCCCAAGAAATTTAAACTTACGTTTACCAAAGTAAAAAAAGTTTAATTTTGTCGAATTTTGGCGGGGTTCGAACCAGCGACCTTCAGATCAATAGATCTCGCGCTGATTCGCTGCGTTTGCTCTCGTTTTTCTCAATTTCAATCAATATTTTTCAATAATCACGTAATACAGCAGAACGCAGCATACAGTATAGTTGGAACTAGAGCAGATTAAAAAAACTCGTGCGCCGCCGGGATTCGAACCGACGCGACCTTTCGCTTACCGAGCAACTGTGCTAACCATTACACCACAACGCGAAATTTTTCGTTTTGTTGTGCATATTTTTTTATTAAATTTATAATTTTTGTTAATTTCCAGGTAAATGGGACACGGAAAGCTGCTCACGGATTATGAGAAAGGCCAGATTGATGCCCGTTTGAGAATTGGCGACTCAATAATGAAAATCGCAAAAACTTGGGCCGGTCCGATTCTGCCTTGCGAAATTATATAAATTCGATGGTGTTTGAAACTCGAAACTTTGACGGTGGTTCTGTGATGGTTTGGACCGCCTTTTGTGCTGATGGAACGGTCGCTCTGAAGATGGTTTCGAATCAGATGACTAGATAGATATCTTGAACAATTGCTTGTTGCCGTTTTTGCTCCTAAATCCAACCATTCCCGATTTGTTTCAATACGACAACGCGTCAGTTCATCGAGCCGGAGATACCCGAGGCTGGCTAAAAAACAACGACATTGCAACTTTGGACTGGCCCGCTCAGTCTCCTGACCTCAATCCGATAGAAAATTTATGGGGAATACTTTTCCGAGCTGTCTACAAGAATCATCGTCAGTTTCAAGACGTTTCTACACTTAAAGCAGCAATTCTTTCGGCCTGGAGCGATCTCGACGTCCCTGCTCTTCAAAACCTCATCAATTCAACCATCTATTCCAACCACCAACTATTCCTGTTACTAGCTATTCCAACCACCAACTTTTCCCGTCAATGCCAGACCGCATTTTTCAAGTAATGAATCATTCGGGTGCGTGTACAGATTATTAGTTTTGATTTTTTGCCTTTGATTGTTAATTTGTGTCGATAAATAAAGATATTTTCATAGTGCGTTTAAGAATTTGAAACGGTTAATTTACCAAAAAGTTTTTATTTTGAAAATTTTTACTTTTTAAAGTATGCTTATTTTTCGTGTCTTTTAGGTTTTAAGACATGCTCTTTCTAATAGCAAAAAAAATTAATAGTTGTAGCGGTGGTCAAAATGCAAAATTCGCTATTTTAGAGGGTGCGTTTAAGAATTTAAAAAAAACAAACAAACAAAACGATAACAATTTATTCTTTAATAACTTTTTAACAAAACAAATAACTTTTTCTCAAACACATCTCCTTTCGCGGCAGGCGTAAAGGCGCTTTGGGAAGGCATTAATGGTGGCAGATATGTATGGAACATCCAGCTCATCCCATGCTTTTTGCAATGATTTCTTCAAAGGATCGACTGTGAAATGGGCCTTTTTTGCAAGCTTTTGACTCCAAAACAGGCCAAACACTGTAATCCAAAGAATTAAATTCTGGGCTTGATGGAGGTCATTGGTTGAAAGTGATGAAATCGGGGATATTTTGCTGACACCAATCCTGAACAACTTGAGCTTTGTGAGCTTTTTTCCCACAGTTAAAAGAAACTGACATTTTGAGTACTTATAAGCTTTCATTTTCAGATGTTTCTTAACAATTGTACCCATCGACCTCTTTGAAATCCCCATCGAATTTGTCATTTTTCGCTGGGACGTCGCTTTTCGCTGCTTGTTGTTATGTCGCACTGGTTCGCAGATCCTCTTGATGTTGACTTTTGTAATCACCGTTGCTTTTTTGCCACGCCCTGGACGATCCGAATTTGATCCCAAAGATTTATACCGATCACTCGTTTTCGAAACCAAACTTCTATCAATCAAGAATCGACGAGCAATTTCGATCCGGATACCGGTTCCCTTTGCGATGAAGATGGATGATCGAATCTCGATGTGGTACCTTTTTCGCCATTCCTAAAATATTCCAAAAAAACTATAAAGTAATATTGGAAAACATCCTAACTAATAGAAAAAAATACATAATTAACGTAAAAACTAGACTAAATAGCTGATTAATACAGTTGGTACGTGTTGCCGTAATTATTACCCTGTAATAAATCAGATCGTCAAAATCACTTTGAGAAATAATGTTTCATTTGTGCGGAATTTCAAACTTACGAATTCAATGCCTATGCAGAAGCTCCCAGATTTTTAACCCGCTCATTTGAGATCTGATAACATTCTTAAACTTCGAAAGCATTTCGACTTGGATTCGGTTGATTCGATTTATGTACTTGTTTCTATTTTCAATAAGGCTATTTTGAACCCTCTCCAATTTTTTTTCGCTCTTTCCTCTTTTCTTCAATGTGACGGATTTGCGATATGCGTACCCTCTTTCCTCCATAAAACACTATCTTTGCTTCCACACAAGGTTTTGAATTTATTGATTTTGAAAGCTGGATGTTTTATTTTTTTTTTGAACACTACATTGTGAATAGCTTTTTTCTGAGATTAACCTAAAATCTCTGGGCAAGTGTCTTCTATTAGGTTCGCAAGAAATTCTTTGCACAGATTTGAACTGGAAGCTCTTAAAAACAAATCCAGCTTAAATCCACCAATTCAAGAACATTTTGTTCTATTATTTACAAGTCGACTCCAAAGAATTACTTATGAAAAATGAGTGTAACTTTCCCTTAAAATTTTAGAGATTTTTGAAAAAGCATTACTTTCCAGCTTAAATTCAGCTCACTTTTTGCACCAGAAAAACAATTCCTTATGAGGTAAAGCTAGCATAAATGAGCAATATGCTCCATAATCTCTATTTTTGGCCAACAAATTTTTTAGTTACTCTCTTTCAAAAATCCCAGGTTTTACAGCTTCTATTATACCTATCTACAAAAGTTTCCATCATTGCCTAAATTTTGCCCTGGTGTATTGGCTTCAATCAATTTCGAGCTAGCCTTGTCACTAAACCTTCATGCTTTTGTTTTTTAAAAATAGATAAATGTGACTGATTCGTGGTCTCGCAGCGGTAAGACATACTGTACAGACAGAGAGAGGAGGAGTGAAGACGTGATTCCTTCGAGAATGGGGAGGCCCTCGTTCATTCGTTTATTCAATCATGCAACTGCTGCGTATTCTTCTAGTACCATTTCGAGCATTTCTTCAATATTTCGGACTAACCACCAAATCTGAAGATCTGCCACCTGTCCAGGTTAGTGTACATTAAAGCCACGCTTTGTCCATGAGACGATGAGTTGCATCATTGACTCCTAGTCAGTTATACCTTTAATTTTGGTTGCCCTGTTCAAAATCGAAGCTGATTAACGGCAAACTGTACAACGAACTATTACGCGACAGCTCCCGAAACTTATCCCACATCAAGCCTAGTTTTATTGTTCAAAAAACTTTCTAATCACCATTTTGCGATTTAGAATGGGCAGCTGAGCAGAGAAAAAAGAAGAGAAAACACTCGAGAAAAACGATTGGATGGACAAAGTGACGTGGAGGTTAGTTAGGCATCTAAACTTCTTGCAACTAGGAAACAACAAGACAGCGTGTGTATTATTCAAGAACTTTGTAAACTTTTTAGCAAGCGCAAGAGACGACTACAAGTGCTACACCAGAGCTAAAGAAGAAGAAGAAGAAGAAGAAGAAACACAAAAAGTGTGGTATGTTTTCGCACAGGTATTGCTTAAAAACATGTTATTTAGACAATACACCCTGGACTGTGGTGCCGAACAAGAAGCCGTCGAAGAAGAAGCCGTCGAACCAGTTGGTTAGTTCAACAGTGCAAAAACAATGCAAAACATTTTCAGCTTGCCGACGGGAACTTGGGCGATCCTCTCGATAGAGCTGACGATGGAGACGAGGTGTTCGATTTTGCTATCTACGATGACACAATCGCCGGACTTTACAAAAGTGAAAGAAAAGGTTTGAAAATATAGAGATAGATGCATTCAAAATAAAATTCTTTAGTTTCATTTGATGTTGAGGGACAGGAGTCATTCTCGATCGATGTGGCCCGCTTTTTTTCTGGCTATCTAAAAATCACGAGTAGGGAAAAAAGTTTGCTAAAATGAAATGTTACCAGAAATTTTCAGGTGGTTTCATTTCAAGCGATCGGATCAGGCTCAACATAAAAAAAATCGACAAGACAAAGAGATGTGTATTGAAAGTCAAGAAATACGATCCCCAGTACGGATTGTGCTTCCACGACCGCTCTCACACAACAGTTTGTCTTCAAAAAACAAAAAGCGCTTGAAATTAAGTTAAGCAAAACAACTTCTAGATTCATATAGTTAGTAAAGTAAGTAATAGTAAAGTAAAAAGCGTAAAACGTTAGAAATTGTTTGAGGATAGTTTTCCCCGTAAACAATATCCGATTTCAGCCATGGGAAGACTTTCGCGATAGTGACAGCACCACTTTATCCATAGATCTTGATGGAGCAATAAAAGACCTGAAAGAGTATTCAAAAGTAAGCCAACCAATAGTTTGGAAATCACAATGCCAACTAAGAAGGATAAACAATATTTTCAGGAACGTAAAGAGTTCGGCCTAATCGAGCTGTGGCTCGAGGTCGACGGCGAGCACGAAGCTTAGCTTTATCAAAATTGAGTGGGACTCGACAAGGTGAGCCTTATATTTCTATTAGTAAATGCTATTACTCTTGCTCAATCAGAAAAATATCTTACCCAATGATTATTTTCAGACAAATAGTGGTGCCCTCTTTCCACAACTATCAGCTGCAAATGGGTCGAACACAAATCGCGAAGAGTGCTCGAAATCGAATCGACAACCGATGCACCTTCATTAAAGGTAAAGAAGAAAGTTTCATTTGTACGCTAGTTTTAGAAGCATTCTTCGATCCGGACACTCGTAGGGCTCTAATTGTCCCTAAAGCGGAAGGTGGAATGCATCCAAATACAAACTTGTTGAAATACGGTCTTCGCTATTTGCACAAGGCTTGGCGTGTTTCCTTAAATGTGCCGGAGGTGAAGTCTGTCTCTGTCTATCTGTACATTTTTCCCTTTTAGTGGATCGAAACATCACCAACGAAACCCCTGGGAATCAATCTAGGCAATCCGCGCACATGGAAAGGAGTCAACAAAAAGCTCGAGGTACGAACCGAGATTTAGCTCTACAAAGTTTAGCTCATAGATTCAGCTCTAGTGCTTACCCAAAGCATTTACACACCTAATACAATTCCTTAACTACAGTCGAACCTCTATATAACGATAGCCAAGGGACCGGCTGTTACTAAAATATAAAGATTACAAGTTTATCATTTGGAAAGACAATGTTTTGACGTACTCTGCCTAACAGGGTTCAAAGTTGTTTCATAGAAAAAGTCATCAATAAGTCACCAATTGTCTGTTTTGCAATCAAAGTGGCTATAGAGAATAGAGATAGAGAACATTTAAATTTAAAATTTAGCCAGAATTTAAAACTGAGCACCAAAATTCTGTTTTTTCTTGAGCATTTGGAAAAGTGGCCCATTTCATACTTTCCAACTCAATAAATTAGATGGTTCAAAAAGCTTTGTATCAGACAGTCTGACTACCTACACCCTCATTTACTTCTGGGTTAACTTCTAGGAGAACGGGTCTGTCATCGTTCAATTCGATCTCCGGGGAACTGGACTCTCAGGCTACTTTGAGCTACGGAAAAGCCAGTAAGCGTTTCACGCCTAAACATGCTCTTTTTGGGAAAACTTGCAAACCCAAGATTATTGGTCACAGTTTTCACAAATTTGGCTCTCAAATATCTTCCACTTTGATTCCAAGATTCCTAAAATTACAGAGGAAAGCTCGAAGCTCGGGTCGTTGACGGTCCGCCTCCGCAGGGATGGAACAACGGTGGCGAATCTCAGCGATCATCTCGATGCAGCTCGATTCGATCTTGAAACCCATATGAGGCACATACCATTGTTGGGAATAGGAACCAATTCAACCAAAGAAACCATTTAAGAGGAGACCAAGCAACATTAAAATGTTAGCTCGGTAGCCGAAAATCAAATAATTTAATAATTTAATTTAAATTTAAATTTTAATAATTTAATTTAATTTAAATTTTAATAATTTAATTTAAATTGTAATTTTAATAATTTAACTTAAATTTTAATTTTAATAATTTAATTTAAACTTAAATTTTAATAATTTAATTTAAATTTTAATTTTAATAATTTAATTTTAATTTTAATTTTAAGAATTTAATTTGAATTTTAATTTTAAGAATTTAATTTGAATTTGAATAATTTAATTTAAAATTTAATTTTCATTTTTATTTTAATAATTTAATTTTAGATTTAAGAATTTAAATTTAATTTTAATAATTTAATTTTCATTTTGATTTTCATTTTAATAATTTCATTTTCATTTTAATAATTTCATTTTCATTTTAATAATTTCATTTTCATTTTAATATTTTAATTTTAATTTCATTTTAATTTCATTTTAATAATTTCATTTTTAATTTAATTTAGTTTAATAATTTAATACTATTCAAGAAGTTCATAGCTATTTTTAAAATGATCACAAAGCTCTGTGTACCATGTATAGGTAGACCAACTTTATTTGTGAAAATCTATTATTCTATTAATCTATTCAATCTATTATATCTATTATTGTGATTTAAACCCAGGCATTGTGTGATACTCTGAACTGCAGGCTAGTCACTACGTAATGATTCGGTACTTCAATAAACCGCCTTTGGGGCCTTTGATAAACTGATCTCTCGACTAAAATCTGATTCTTTCACATAATTCTATGGTTATTGCATAAAAATGTGATTTTTGTGCCTTTATTTTCGGGTACTTCAATAAACCCAGTCATTCTGTGATACTCTGAACTGCAGGCTAGTCACTACGTTTTTATGGAAGCCTTATTAATCTTGTTATTTTGCCTTTTGGCTTTGACCGAAATATTTAGCGTGATTCCGCCAAAATCGCTCTTGGCCAGAGCCCGTATGCTACGCTCTAAGAAACTTTCCCGTGGCGTCTCCGATCTTTACCGCGTCATCTTTGATCTTTCCAGTAAAATGTCCTTAGTTTTTTTCGCGGAGCGTACTTTCCCTTGGAAAGTTCCTCGGAAAGTTCCGGCGAAAAGTTGTTTTCGAAATTTTCTGGAAGTCTTTCCCGCGGAACGTACTTCTCTTTCCGAAAGTTTCCATCAAAACTTTGCAAGGAAAAGTACGCTCGGGAAAGTTTCTCGAAGCGTAGCATACGGACTTAGCTCTAGTCTAATTGCAAGCTAGGTGTTTGCTTGTTGTTTTTTTGTGAATGTTTGTTTTTTATGTGCACTTTCGTCGCGTAGCAATAAAAAATTTTTAGAAAACTTTTGGAGTTGTAAATGGACATAAAAGTGCGGCGTTGGGGCAAACAAAATAAAGCACACGCTTCACACTGATTTAGCTCTAACCCTTAATTGAAAGGAGAATTTCGATCTAAAGCAAAACACATATGCAAATTCATGTTTTAGGTACTTTTTGCTAAAGTTGTGCTTTATTAGCAAGGTCACAACATTGATCACAACACTACAAAAACGAGAGTGAGTTGCCTTGCGAGCTCGACTAAGATGGCCGTTTCGTTGAGTTTGAGTTGAGAACTCTGGCAAGACCTCTAAATAATTTGATGTTTTTAAAAAAGATTAAAATTTTACGTGATTGCTTCCACTACATTTGTTGACCTTTGCTGGAAAGCCGAGAAACTGTTCAATATCGAGCGGCTCTCCGACTTTCACGAAGGGCTTGTCCAAGAAGTCTTGTTGAGCCAAGCCGTCTAAATTTTGGCTAATTACAAGTTATGGTCATTTTTCTACCTAAAAATTCATTCTTCACTTTGTTATAGTCGAGCAAATCATACTTCATTCCTTTGGCGGGCAACGAGCAGAAATTTGTTGAAAATGTTTACTATTGGGTTGGTGCATTGATAACTGCGGGCTATTTCACGCGATTCGCAGATAGAGAAAACAACAGCATAGAACCAGCTGAAAGGGGGTTTGTTTACTTCAAAATTTCCTCTAATTATTGCGAATAAATTATCCTGCCAGCTTTTTATTTTTTGGTGTTTTTCTTTACTTCTTCTATTGCACTCGACAATCTGCCACCCGGACATATTCGTCATGTCATGCTTCATGAGTTCCTACAAGAATACAGTGCAGGCTTGGCAGCCGCTAATATTAAAAAGATATGTGGGGAGGACTCACCTTCCGAAAGAACGTGTCGAGCATGGTTTGCCAAGTTTCGATCTGGGGAAAAATCTTTGAAAGATGAAGAGGGCCGTGGAGTGGCACCCCAACCGGATGATTCCAAATTACTCGAACTCATCGCCAATGACCATCGGGTATCATCGCGTGAATTGGGAGAAGAAGTTAGGGGTTGATGATGCTACAGTGCTAAATCACCTTCATACCCTTGGATTTAAATCGAAACTTGGGGCTTGGGTGTCCCATGACCTCAATAACCCCCAGAAGTGGCAGCGCGCCTCCATCAGTGCCGCTCATCTCACACGATACGAAAGGAAATCCTTTCTTCCTCGAGCTGTGACAGGAGATGTGAAATGGGTTTTATCTGTGAACTTTCGGAGGAAGCGGCAATGGGTGGGGCCAGGCGAGAAACCCGAAAGTGACCCCAGGCCCGATTCGCACCAGAAGAACTGTATGCTCTGCTTTTTCTGGGTTTAGGAGGGAGTGGTGTACTGGGAGTTGCTGGATAGCAAGATGACCCTTAATGCAATCAAATACAGTGAACAGTTGAAAAAGGTGAATGAATCCCTAAAGAAGAATAGGCCCTCCAAGTCAAAGATCGTTCTCATCCACGACAACGCGCGCCCTCATGTTGCAAAACTGACTCGCTCGAAAATAAACAGCCTTGGTTGGGAACTTTTGGCATCCCGCATATAGTCCGGATCTGGCCCCTTTTGATTACTATTTATTCCGCATCATGACTAATGAGCTTGCGGGAGAACACTTCGATTCGGAAGAAGCAGTCAAAAATTGCCTTTGAAAGTTTTTCGATTCAAAACCAAAATCCTACTACGAAAGAGGAATCCGCAAATTGCATGTAAAATGGGCAGAAGTCGTCAAGAATAATGGAGATTATTTGGAATGAATTCATGGTTTTATGTTGAATAAATTTTAGTTCAAAGTCCCGCAGTTTTCAATTCACCAACCCAATAGTACTTGGAGTATTTGTAATAGTAGATTTGAGATATTGCATTATAAACAAGCCATTTTCCCCATTTTCGGCACATTCTGCTGTAAATATTGTACTATTCTATTGAGTTCTTGAGAACTATTCTGCACTCGCTTACAGGATTTACTGTAAAACTGTGCAGTATTTGGTCGGTACTTTCTTGATCTACACTATTTTACAGGTTTACAATAGATTATGCAGTGTAATTTGACAGAGAGCTTTCGAAAATCGATCTTTAGAACTTCCCCGCCTTTTTCTACATGCCAATTAACCTTTTCGTTGGGTTTAATTGTTTTAATTTTGATGCATCAACGATTCCACACGATTCACAAGGATCATTTCCATTTATCGATTAAAAAAACTTAATTAAGATTACAGATTAAAAAACTCGTGCGTCGCCGGGACCCGAACCGACGCGACCTTTCGCTCACCGAGCAACTGTGCTAACCATTACACCACAACGCATTCAATTTCCCTTGCTCCAGAGGGATTTAAGTGTATAAGTTTTCTACTCAATTTTCTCAGCTACCGTAATCTTAGTCATAATTTTATTTTATATATCTACTTTTGTTTTCATTTTGTGAGAGTTCACAAAGGAAACCAATAGAAAGAAATATAAATATACTAAAAATAGATAGATTAGAGTTAAACTAGAGACAAGATTACGGTAGCATTTCGAAAGGTGACATAAGTAGAAAATGCTTGATTTGAGAAGAAAGCACTCTAATGAACGACCTAAAAAGTACACTACCCACCAAATGACGCAAACAAAACGGCGGCTTGGATGTAGGAAAACAAAAAATGGCTATGGGGAAAAGGGAGAGGTTTGCTTAAATTGATTGCCCTTTAATCCCAGCAAATCCGCATAATTGACGGGAGATACTTAACTTCAGCTTTATTTTAATTCAAGAATTATTTTGCGCCTTATTTTGCCATGTCCTCTTCAATGAAAAGACTGAAACGTCGGAAAAGAAAATCCATTGAGAAAGCCGATTTTAAATTCATTGTTCTTCCATTCGAATTGCAAAAATCGATTGTCAACAAATTGGGCGTGATTGACCGATTGGAATTTGGATATACGGCAAAGAATTGTCGAAAATTGGTGGCTAGCTCTGGTCTGTTGCCGACGACTTTTATTGGATTCGAGTTCAACCCGGTGGACAAGGATAGTGATGTGGGTTTTGATCATAAAGAATATGACTAACTACAGGGTGCATGTAAAGCTCTGTCCCTCTCCAAAGATCTTTGGTTCAGACAAAAACAAATAAAATAGAGATCAAACGAACTTGAAATTTGAAATCTTTGACTATTTTTACCCTAAGAGTGCTTTTTCTTAATAAGTTCTTTTGTTGATTGATTTGATTACAACTCGATTACACTTGAGATTCTTTGCCAGTTCACATTAAAGCTTGATTTTTACGGGTCTGTGATGTAAAAGTAGAAATTCAAGCAAAGATTTCAATATCAATGAAAACCAGGTATGAACCAGGTATGAAAAGTCGAAAAAAGACTAAAATGGTTTAGAGTGGTCGCCGCCTTGTCGACAATGATGATGGGAATCAGGTATGAAAACTTTTCAAACTTTCAACTTAAAACTTAAAACAGTTTCAAAATTTTAAAGCTTAAATCTAAGTAATTTTTGTAATTTCTTTTCAGCGACTCCTTTACAATTTCCACTCGCGAACTCCTCGTAAACGTGACGACAAAGTGGACTCGGTGGAGATTTTCGTCAGTCCAAACGGGAACAACGAGATCAAGTTCGAGGATTTGTATAGGTAATTGGAAAAGGAAAAACTTTAATTTGAAAGTTTTAGAAAAAAAGTTTATCCTTTCAAAAAATCGAGTGAATCGAGGAAATTTCTGGATAAGATTTTGGAGAAAACAAGGTTTCGACGACTTTCCTTTACCGGTTTTATTCGATGCTCGTTGCTGTCGAAGATTGAGTGTAAATTTGTGAGTTATAATATATAAAATAATAAAAAAAATGAAAATTTTTATATATAATAATATATAAAAATAAAATACAAATAATAAACTATCTACTATATATAAAAAGCAGTGTCTGTTTTCTGTCTGTGCGGGCATTTTCTCGGCCCTGTTTTGACCAATAAAACTAAAACTTCTTTAGGAAACCTTAGAATATAATGTATTAGGTTGATGCATAAGTCTTTTCGTTCCTTTTCGTCTGCCGTTTCAAGCCAACAAATGCACCAATTAAACACGGTGTTTCATTAGAAAACCAATTATTTTTCTGCAAAATAACATTAAAACGGTTTAAATATTTTTGCCTGGATTTTCTTGAGGTATGAAGTCGGGTAGTCAAAAGGGCCACTCGATGTGCGGTTTGACCCTTGCTAAAGAAACCTATCTTCGTGTCAATAGATAAAGTGAAAAAAGTTTGTATTTCGCCAAAATTTCAGAGAAATTCATTCAGCCAATTTTTCCGTAGAGTTTTTATAGATTTTTACGAAAGGCGTTTTTCCTCTGAATTTGCTTGAAGTGAACCGAAATTGATTTAAAAGATGGAAATTCAACAAAAACCTTTTTTATAGAGCAAACTATAGATTCATTCGTGAATTTGTTACTTTTTAACAGAAGTACGAAAAAAATGAAAAGGACTTTTGCATCAACCTAATAGTTGCGTCATTCAAAATAAAAAATTTAAAAAGTAAAAATTGAGTGCCACTACGGGGGGTCGAACCCGGAGTGTGTGAGCCGTAGAGAGCGCGCTCCCGACTGCGCCATGACGACGAAAACCAGCCCAGCCAGAAAAACCGGGGTTTTCGGCTGGTATATTATAAATAACTCCAAATACATTCGAAGTTTGAAGTTTTGATTTTGCCTTATTAGACCGGTATTACCTTAGCCGATCACGTGCTTCTGTGGCGCAATGGTTAGCGCGTTCGGCTGTTAACCGAAAGGTTGGTGGTTCGAGTCCACCCAGGAGCGCAAATTTTTGCTTTTTTTTTTTCTGAAGCCTACATCAATAGATGCATAAACTTTCAGGATCGATCTCTGATGGGTAATTTTAAATTCCATTTCCCGGCGCAAGAGGTGAAATTCGAGTTGTTCTCCGAGTCGGTGCAAGGGCTCATGTGGAATTTCCTGGATATTGAAACGGAGAAGTTGACAATTTATAAAAAGGTACACGAAAAAGAAAATATTGATCTAAAACGAATAATCTAGTATCTAAAACATGTGAAATTACAAATGATTTCAATTTTCAGGGCTTCTTCAATCCCCGAGGCGCCAGTTACTGTTTCAATGTGGATCTCACGAAAGAGCTGATCGAAGCAAGACTGGTTGGTGCTTAGGAAACGTTAGCTCTCTAAATATCTATAGAAATTGATCTTTTTAAGCGTTTATTTCACTTTTTAGTTCAAATCAGCTACCTCTTTGTACATAACGGGTGACTTGTTCGAGGCGGAAGCGATCCCATTTTTGCTCAATCGACCCCACGTTGATTTGAATATTTCCGTTCGACCGTTCATTTCTTCAATACAGGTATACATTGTGCTCCCCTCTCTGAATTTTCAGTTTTTGGTCTCTTTCTCAAAAACTAGTGGATGTTTCTGGAAGTATACCGATCAAATCCCATTCAATAGCAAATTTTTTGCTATTGAATGTTTCGAAATTGCTTTGATTGTTTTGAAAGCAAAGTTTCCCCCACTAGGGGAAACTTATTAGATGACGAAGAAAACTTCAAAGTGTAAAGGGGGAGGGTAATCCCCCTAAAGTGTCCTCCTGTGATACACCTTTGTGTACAGTTGAATATTCTATGGTTTTTATTGCAAACGCATATGGCAAATAAAATTGATAAAAGTAGAGTTATCTGTGCGTATTTTGCAGAAGAAGTTAAAAAGATTAAGTGAGAGTCGAGATATGGGGATGGGTAGAAAAATGGGGACACTTTCAAAAGTGCCCTCCTTTTTTCCTTTTTAACTTCATATCTTGGCTTTATGTGGGTTTTGATTCATTTAAAAGGGAAAATTCAGAGAGGGGGAATGTATAAATACAAGTATACTGGAGGTTATAGATTAAATCAAGAAATGAACTATTTTAAGCTTCAATATCTTTTGTACAAAGTCCATCTTTCAGTCTCTTCTTTGCCAAGCTTTGCCTCAAAATGTCCGTGAGGCGATTTTCACTTCCACGTACACAGAGAATCACTTCATGATCAAAGGGATTTTGGACTTAATGGTAAGTTTAGACATTACCCTGTCCTATAGATAAAAGCATACCACGGACAGAGAATGTCAACTGAATTTGCTGGCCAAATCACATCAGACTTCGACGCAGAATTTCACGCTTATCATGATGCTGCTTTTTTTCGCTACGGCGCACTCTGTCAAAAATTTTTGTAAGGAATTTCAAAAGTCAAACCGCAACCTTTAAACCCTGCTTTACCGCGACCTTTCAAGGGTAGTTGTAGCGGTGGCCAAGTGGTAGTGAGTTAGGATGCGAGGCGTGGGCGTCCTTGCTCGAGTCCGGCAGCTTCCGTCGGGTCCCTCTGGTGTTTTTTCTTTTGTAAGTTTTAATGCCTTGTGTGTTCTCTATTGCACAATCGTATAGCATCTGGGACAGCACTAATGCAGATAAGAGGTCCATCAAATTGCCAAAATTGTTCATCGGCCCGCGGGCGGAGGCCAGCTACCTCTAGCTATCAGCTTTAGCTTATTCATTTAACAATTTTTGACTTTATAATTCAAAAATTCCAAGCGTTTTTGGTTCCTCTAAATTCAAAATTCATAGCTGCTCAAGGTCTGATACTCGAATGATCTAAAGCTCATGTGATTTTGTCTGGTACATCCAGTTGCCCTTCCCTTGTGAATATCGAATCAAGCTGAATCCCAAAATTTAGGGTGAAGCGCAAAAACGACTCAAACCACTCTCAAATGAGGATCTCCCGAAATATCTAAACGCTGACCAATTGGAGAAATATGAGAAGAAGTATTTGGTGGGTTTTGAAAAACGGATTGTCAGATAAAAATTGGGCAGATTACGGTAGCTTTTCAAGCCGACAATTTCAGTTTCAGAAAATAGATCTAATGAGAAAGAAGATCTAATGAGGAAACAGATCTAATAAATGCCAAATTTCAGTATTTCCTTCAAAGACACGACGAGAAAGAGTTCCTGTGGATGGTGTTGAATGTGGGGCATGGAGCGAAATATCACGTAAGACGGGCGTCGATGAGCAGTGATGATGGGAAAGATGGGCAACAACTTCAAGAAAGATTTGATGACTGAACGTTTACGAATTGAAAACGCCAAGAAGAATCACTTAATTTGCCTCTTTGATCGGTCTTTCTATTACAATTATCCATTTACCATTTTTGAGTAACAATTTCGATGCTAATTTCAATAATCATTGTATAGTTTTGATCACAAACCTCGTTTTTATTATGCTCATTTTTCGATTCGAAATTTCCCCTCAAAAAAAGCATTCTCAAAGACTTCAATTGAATCTCAGTTTTCTGCTCTCAATTTGCATATGAATAAATTTGCATTTAAAGAGAAATTCTCTCGAAAATGACACAGAAACAAACCATTTTTCTGCTTTTTTACCTTCGAATCGGCTTAATTAAATATCGTTTTTGATTCAAAATGTGAGTTTTAAAAGTTTTTTTTTACTGTAAACTGGTTACTGTGACTTTTTATAAGCCCGTAAGCTATCCCACTCCCATAATGACCGTGCGGAGTGTTTCGTAGTCTAGCTTTGAACGTATTTTTCTCGACACTCGTTTATGCTACAATGTGCGCTTAGGCAACAAAAAATAGCTGAAATTCAGGGCTATTTTGTTGATACTAAAGACACATTCTTTGAAAGTACGGCCACTTTGAAAAAGTGAAATATTGACCACCGATGAGCCGTACGGAATTTAGCTTTTCTGTTTTTTTGAGCTCAAATATCCTGATGCTGGGCTGTCCAATTTAAATATTCTTGGTATCATTGGATGCGCCAAGTCTTTCTCTGTCGGTTGGTACAAAAACGTTTTCAATTGGATAGTCCAACACCAAGATATTTGAGCCCAAAGTTGGATTGCCAATGGCAAAGGGGGCGCGGCGCGTATAAAATGTTCCACAATCTGCTAATCTGGCATACTTACCGAGACGAGATTCTATAATTTTATAGTGTTCAAGCATTTTGTTAGCATTCATGTAAATCTCTCGTTTCCAGGCAAAAAGATAGTTCAAATGCTCCCCATTCGTATCAGCGAGTCGAGACGGGAAAATCGGAAAAGAACGAGAAAAAGAATAAAGGGAAACCGTCGGTGGTGATCAAAGCCCCGGCAGCTGAGTCGATCGTTGAAGGAAGCAGTGAGTGGTTTTGAAGGATATTGAAAATACCTTTCAGTTTTCATTTTCGTACAGTTTGTGTACTTGTACTAGTGTACAAATTCTAGAATTAGCCATACTTTCTTGGATTGGGATCCAATAGTAAATTCTTCGGCTCTTGATTTCCAATATAACAATTTTGGAATAATCAAAAGGTGTTCTGTTCATTCCTGGACTCTAAATAAGAATTTTTCATACATTAATCTATCGAATTTATTTCCTTTTTCGAGGTGCCGATGAGGATGTTCCCCGAAGTGCCCCTCAATCATCCTCGAATTTGAATTTCGCTCTCTCGGCCAACGAGAAAGCTTCCGAGAAGCGCCGGCGTCGTTTACTCAATTTTTACGTTAGTTTTACTATTTTCTTTACAAACAACCGAAAAACCACCTTAACCCGGTTTTTCTGGCTGGATGTTTTGTCGCCGTGGCGCAGTCGGGGGCCTTGTCTACGGCCCATACAACCCGGGTTCGAGCCCCCGTAGTGCCACCCAAGGTTGCCTTTTAATTTTTTATTGTAAATGGCACAACTATATTATATTTGAAGATTTTGTAAGAAATTTAATTTCTTTTGGCCCAAAGATGGCTGAGAAAAAGTCCTTACAGGCGGACAGACACTGCCCTTGGATATTAAGTAAATAGTAGATGTCAAAATAACTCGATTGCTAATTTTCGTATGTAAATTTTCGCTATTTTCATCTTTTCAACTTTGGCGCGGTGAGTAGCGCGCTTGTCTACGACCCACACGATCCGGGTTTGACTCGCGGCTGTGTTGTGACTTTTGTTTTTTAAAAAACGAAATATGAGATGCACAACTGCAGAGAATTCTAAGCCTAACAAACTAAAAATCTTGTAAATCGGCTCACGGAGCGCTGAGAACTCACGCGTACAGACAGACGGATGGACGGACGGACACTTCTTTTTTTGTATATGTTACATCCTATCTAGAATCAAGCCGATCACTTTAAATCAGACGTCCGGTTCAGAATGATTCGTGCCTAATCTAGATCGGACGTCCGACCTAGAATCAGTCTAGATCGGACTTAAGAGATATAGTAGATATCCATATCTTTAGTTGGTTTCATCCCTTCTCCTTTCTTCGATCTGCATTTTGGTGTTGTTGATTTGCATTGCCGGAATGGGCTTTTGGGTGGGTGAATTTCTTTGATTTGATTTCTTTGACAATTTGATGCACTCTTGGATGTCTGCATACTGTAGCCAATACATAAACACCTTTACTACAATGTCTAGGTTACTCTAGCCTAACTCTAAGTCAAACCAACGATTGGTGACATCCTTTTGAGCATTAGTTTGAACTACAGTGATCCGAGTGCAGTTATCCTGTAATCTCGATACGGTAGTAAAGGTGTTTTATGTTTAGATTGCAGTAATCCAGACTGGGCACATTTCTACAGTAATCCAGATAGTATAAGGGTATTTCTATGTAGGCTACAGTCTCCAGATAGTCAAAAGTCTATCAAATTGTCAAAAACTTTGTTCTTGTTTGCTTAAATCAAACGATTTTCGAACTTTAAACCTAGAATTTTCCTTTCTAGGTGCATCAAACGAAAGCCGAAATCCAAGAGACCCACGATCAGTTCAAGGAGGTCAAGGTGGGTAGGATTTGAAGATTTTTGAGTTTTTTTAAAGTTACCTTAATATGTGAATTCAAATCTTATTTCATTTTTGCAAACTCTTTCTTTTCTAGGAGAGATTGGACTCGTTGCTCGCGCAAAAAGACGGTTATTTTGAGATTTTCGAATTTTTCAACGTTCAACTTTAGGGACAATTCAAAGGAACACAACACAAAGCGAGGTGGGAAAATTCTCGGGATTTGGTTTACTGTAGGATTATTAATTTCAATTCTGGATTGTTGGAGCTTACTTATAAAGACAAGATTACGGTATGGAGAGGACAGGGACACGTTTTAGAAGATCTAGTAGCCAGTATCAACAATGGTTTCGATTTTGGCTTTAATTTTGTACAATATTGCTTCTTCCAGAGTAACTTCACTCGAAGTCATCAAAATCGATCATCGAAATAGGTCAAAATAGGTCAAAAGATCATCAGCATAATAGGAACAACGAAAATTTAGGTACAGTGGTTTTAACTGAAAAGCTTTTACAAAATTATTTAAAGTTTAAATGCAAATTTCCCCACAATATACTTTCTCTTTCAGACTCCTTTCCCGACATCGGGGCAACCGCAAAATTAATCTTCTCATTGGTTTATCCCCGTTTTTTTTTTCTTTAAGAATAAATGTAACTTGAGATTGATGATTTTTGGGTATTTAGTAAAGGAAATTTATTCAAATCAATGAATGAAAGACTTTTATTAGATCACAGACCGAAATTGACATGTTTCGAATTTCAAATTTCCCCCAAGTCGTGGATGGCTTCCATGAAATTGACGTCAATGTCCTGAAAATGGTTTTGTCTTTGAAAAATTTCGCTCTTGTCCGTTTCCTGAGCTCTTTGAAGCTTCATATCTTCGTTCAGTCATTGTGGTTGTTAACTTTTTCTATAGTTTATAAGGCTATAAAATTGGTTAGTGTTTTCAAGTTCTTCTAAAAGTTTGAGACCAATTAAATGCGCGTAGATTGGTAGACTCAATAAAATGAATAGCTCCAATCAATTTCCGGACCCCGAAAATCCCCGAGCACAAATTTCCAGCTGAATAACTTCATTTTATGCAATCTACAAAGCAAGTGAAATCCCTATGTAAATGGCGACGTGTTCTTTGTGCGCGCACAATCGCTTACCATCGGGCATAAGGCCTTGGTATAAGGGCTTCCCTTTTGGGATCCTCAAAGGGGAGAGAGCGGTCAACAACTGAGCCGACTCGAGCCGCAAAAGGAATTGAACCTGAGCAAAAAAGAGGATAGCCCGCTCTTGAGACAAGCCACCTATCCACTACACCACCAGAGGGTCAACTCAGCGTGTTTGTGGACGTCCCAAATAGACATGCGAAAAGCGTTTTTGCAAAATTACTGGGCACAATTTTTCCCTAGATCTACCTGTATTTCTATCAATTTTTGAAAACATTCGATTTCTAACATTAATTTACCTGTTGATGATAGACAAAAGTCTCATAATCGGGTGCATCAAAATGTGCATAGTGTGGCTCATTCTCCTCCATTTGAACGACTTTCGGATATTGTTGTGTTGGCGGCATTCCGGGCACCTCCAAGACCAAGCGATTCCCGTTCTTTGTCTGAAATCGAGTATGTTAACCAATTTGCACGATTTCTCTAGCTTGAGTTTGTTTAAATCTTGTTTTTTACTTGTGGCAACAGCTCGACAATTTTTCTCTCCAACAGCGTTCTCTGCTTGTAGAGTTCCTCGCTTTTCCCGGCATCTCGTTCGTATTTTTGAGCATCGATGATTTCCTGGAATGATAAATTCCTTAAGAAATTCCCTATCTAAGTCAAGATTTATTCAGTCTTGTTGACTAACAACTACTATTCTTAGAAAGACTCACTTGCAAAGCCAATTTCACCGTTTGCGCCTCGTGGGAATCATCGGCTGATGGCTCGGGAAGCCTGAAAGTAAAGAGTTTAAGCTATTGTCAGACTCGTGAGAGTCAAAAATCGGTACTTATTGCTTATATCGCCACAAAATTTGCTTTTTAAGAAGTTTGTCAAAATGCTTCTGCATCAAATCGATACATATGCCCACAAAATGTATGTTAGGTTTAATTTGCATTTGTATTCGACCCAAAAACCCCAAGCAGCGAAGAAAAATAACTTTATAGTACTTATTATAGTACTTTGTTTGGATCAATTCCTTCTGATAAAGATGGTACCATCGATTTCTTCACCACGGAGCTGTCAAAATGGATATTTGATAAGTCACGGAAACGGGAAAGCAACTCGTTGGAGATGGAAACGATCTGCCGACCAGAGATCGGTATCCGTTTTGGTACATGTGCAAACCCCATAACCGATTTGATGCAAGGGCATTTTAACGATCTTTTTAAAATGCAAATTTTGTGGGGATCGAACCGATAAGTACCCAAAAATCAAAACTTACATCAACAATGGGACTTTCTTCGATGGTTGCATTGAGGGTTTGATCTCCATTGATGGGGCTCTTGGATCGTAAACGACCCCGGTTTCAAGGATTACCTGAAACAGTGATTGATGGCCAAAAAAAGCAATTTTGACATAAAACGATAAGTACTTGAGCTAGTCGATAAATTTGTTTCAAAACATGAATAGAACTTGAGTGCGAACCGGTAGAGCGGCTCGGATCTGCTTGACGCGGTTGAGATGAGCCGAGTGGGACAAGTGATGGGAGTTTCTCTGGAAATTTAGAATTTCTATAGATTTTACAATAGAGACACTAAAATTTAGGTTTATTTCTATTATCTTGAGTGCAAAACTTGCATTATGCCTTGGTTTCATCAAAACCGGATGCTCGGACTTTTCGAGTGATGGCTCTAGTGAGTGTTTGGTGGTTGGGTCTGAAATTTGCTGAGTAAATGGTTGATGAATTCGAATTTCTCAAATGATTGATTGAATATCCGTTTCTGCTTATTAATTTCATTCATTTACCAAAAGTTGACGTTGAAGGCGCGGAATAATCGTGTAACTCTTGAGCAAGGCCGTCCTGAGTGAACACGAACTCTTCTCTCCTGTCAGCTCTGAAGCAAATAGCTGATTGTTATCAACTTTCAGTTTTTAATTTAAATAAAGAGTATATAAGGTCTAGAAATTTTCAAATCTAGTTTTTCAAAAGTTTTTCATTGGCAAATTTCTAGACAAACCCATTTCTGTTATGCCTCAATAAAAGCCTCGTATTGCTATCAAATCCTCTCGGAAAGCAGCGATTTCGATCTGAAATTTCTATTTTTTCACCAGATTTTGATTAAAAATTAGCATAAATTCGATTAAATTCAAATATTCACAGGGTTAATTTAGTTCTTTAAGTATGATTCTTATTCATAAACCCACTATTCGTGTCCTCAATCACTTTCCCGATAATGTTTTCGCTGTCAGGGACGAGTTTGTTGTTTAGCTGGAAAAGAAATGGGTAATTGATCAGAAAAATCTATAATTTCCATATAGAAATGCAAATTCTATAGAAAAATTGAGTCATTTTTCCAAACCCACAATCAGAAATGGCTCCGTTTTCACCAATTTCTTTGCCACATTCACTACTTCGTACTTTTTCAGGTAAAAACCGCGCTCGTTCGGCTGCGATTCGGCTGGAAAGGAGGAAATTAACGAAAAATACGTTAAAACTGGCAAGAAATCTTTAGATTTTAAATACTTTACCCTTAAAGGGCCTAAATATTCCTTTCTCAAAAGAAAACCAACCAACGATCACATCTCGGATTCGATCGAAATCCATACAATTCCGAAGTAGCTCCTCGATTCGACCCTGAGAATTTTCAATTGAGTTTTGATTGGAAAAAGTGATGAAATTCAAATGTTGATCGATTTTGCACAAATTTCTTTTAATATTTTGATTTATTAGAAGCAAAATCAAACCTTAATCCCCTTGCTGACGGGCAAATTTTCGGGCTCGTTGTCATGACCGAAATGGTACAAGCAGCATTTCACCGAGATTTGACTAGAATTTGCAATTTTCTGTAAAAAAGGTTTTTAAATGAAGCCCACCCTTTATACGTTTCCGCAATATTGATGAAAGCTGTGCAGAAAGCGTTGATCTTTTTGCTTTTTCTTCTCCTAGCTGGCTCGTCGGATCGATAGAATTTCGATTGATGACCAGAGCGATAGCATTGGAGATATCTGGATATGTTATATTTATGCAATAAATAAGTATTTAATTGAAATTTTGAAACGGTAGACTTAAGAAAAAGATCGATTTCTTGACGTTTGATCGATTGGACTAGACAGAACAGAGTAGAGTGTGTTCCTCGCGAGTAAGTAACTACTCGAGTAAATTTGCATGAGTAATTTTTTACTCGAGTAATAGCTCGAGTAATTGTCGAGTAATGGGTTTTCTAAAAAGTGCGCCTGCGTGAAAAAATAAAAACGCAAATTTTTGGCACAGGTTTTTCAAAAAAAGTCATTTGTTACATTGGAAGGGAATTTCCCACCAAATCAGTTAACGGCTGAGTATCTTTAAAAAGTGTCGTTTATAATGCGGGGCCCGTGATTTTTGCGTCATTTTTTGCAATAATTTTTGCTAAAAGTACGGTAATTTTTCCCAAGTGTGCGTTTTAAAAAACGCATTACTCGCGAGGAACACACTCTAGAACAGAGTGCAGCATCTGTCTTGTCTTGTTAAAAAAATTGGCTTTTTCCGTCTTTTTCCGCATTAATACGTTTTTAGAGTTAATTACTATAAAAGTCGTGCTTTTTGAGCTCCATTATCGCAAATGCGAGCTTATCTTAGCCAACGAAAATGGAGACATTTTGACAAATTTCATTTTTCAAGAGCAATCACGTTTAAAGTCTTCTATAAAACGATTGAAGTTTTAAATTCTTACAAAAATTCATGAATCTAGTGAAAAATGTGCGTAGATTTTAAATAACTAGACGAAAAAAACTGTCAACTCTTTTGGTTTTTGAGGAAATCATTTTTTTGTAGAGCGCAGCACATCCTGTATTTTCCCTGGGTTACAAGATTCACCGGTGGATCAGTTTAGAAAATAAAGTGAATGAATGTCTAATTTTCCTAGCAAAACCAGCTACTCAACACCGAAATAACAGTTTAAAGCAGCATTGAAAATGCTTTTACTTCGATTGCAACTCACTGATGCGATGTGCCGGTCCCCAGATTATTCTTCGGCCTCACTTTGCCCGACGTGCAAACGAATTGAGCGCATGTCATCGTTTCGACTTTTAGCTTCCATTCCTAAACATTTCTCTTAAAATCTAGCAGTTACTTCAAACCTCAAACTCTTGATTATTCTGAAAGACATGCGTCTCGATGTTCATTTTCTCATCCGGCTCTAAGTGTGCCACTTTGACGTGAGCGATGTAGTTAGGCATGCTATCGAAAGATTCAGGACACTCGGCACAAGTGATATTTGGGCGACGGCACTGGAATGCAGATGGATTTTAGTGGGCTAACAAATCGGTTCTTGAACGCTTTGTTGAGCTCAGAGATTTTTTAAACCCAGATTTTCTGGTTAGGTTCTGATCGTCGAACCTCAATAAAGTCAGATCAGGACTTTAGCCTGATCAGATCTGCCTTAATTGATGCTACAAAATGGCAATGTCAATGGCTGACAACTCACCGGTCCTCCCAGCATCGAGATCACACCATGTCTCAATCGTTGATGATATTGAAGAGTCGATGCATCGGGGAATACACGACGGCAAGGATGACAACGGAACTAGAGATTGGAAATGAATCCGGGAGTTCTTGGAGCCACTCAAACCTCTCTAAAAGTGAGTCGGACTTTCTCGGGCTTGAGAATCCCTTTCGGTGTCAGCATCATTGGCACCGATTTTTTGTGACCAAGGTGGGCGAAAGTTCCCGATAAAATGATCAATCTGAAAACTTAGCTAGCAAAAGATCAGTTGAAGCTTTTACCCAGATTCCAAGCGTTCAATCGAAACGAGAAATGGGCACGAGACATGGGGTAAACGGGGGATGTGATCATGTGTTGCCTAAAGGAAAATGAGATTCGAAATTTTACAAATCTGAAACTTCTTAAACTTTGCAACTAGCTAATTCTTAAGAGATTACTGAATAAGCTTGCATTGAATCTGATACTGGACTTGTTATAATGGGCAAAAACTTCAAATTGGTTTGTTTGTTTTATCAGAATTTGTTCGCAGACCAATCTTATTTATTTACTTAGGATCTTACTAAGGAGAGGGGCCAGATCAAGTTGGCCCTTTTGATGCACACCCAGTTTATTTGATCGGGTTTTGAATGAGGATTCCAAATTCGCTTTTAGTTTTTCTAATGGAGCCCTGTGTTGTAAGATATCTGGCATCAAAGTTTATGTCGGTTTTTCGGAGCTGTTATCGGTCTTATTTTCGGGATCGGTCGCCGATCCTAAATACAGCGGTAGCACAGTGGATAGTGCGAGCGTTCACAAGTTTTTTTAGCTCGCTCACAAGGGTTCGAATCCCCTCTACGTTAATCATTTTTTTGTTTTTTACAACAAAAAACGTTCCTCGTTTTGTTTTTTTGTTAGTTAAATGATCAAAAAATATTTCAAGGCGTTTAAAAAATCTTAAACTAATTAAACTCATAAAAGCATTACATTTACGACCAAATAGCATTGAAATCAACAACGATGGATATATTAAAAAAAAACGTTGTTATTTAATGCATTTGTGTTTAGTAAATTTCCATTTAGTGCATTTACATTTTGTCGTTTTTTGTTAACTGCAATCAATTTTCTTAAAAAAGCGAAAAAAGTTGAAGCGCGGGGATCGAAACGGTGATCTTCTGGCTAAATGCTACCGATTTACCTCTGGACCATATTTGCTATCATTTGTGAGGAATTGGACTGAAATATTGTCAGATTTCGTGTCTTTAACTTTGATTTCAGATATCTTGCGATACAGAGCTCCATTAGAAAAACTAAAAGCTAATTTGGAACTCCTATTTAAAGCTCTATCAAATACACTGACTGCTAGACATGAGAATCGAATCAGCTTTTATCGGATCGGATCAGGTCGGGTCAACCCGAAAACCGGGAGTATTCGGGTCGGGTCAAGTCGGGTCAACACGAAAATTCAAATTTTTCGGGTTGGGTTGGGCCAACCCGATTTTGACCTGACCCGGTCAGGTCATTTTGACTCAACCCGATTTTTCATCTCTACTGGATGCACATCAAAAAGACCACCTTTCCCTAGTTAGAAGAATCAAAATCAACCTTTTTCATTGTTTCCGAATTCTTCTCACAGCAGAAAATCTTATTAATCTTCACGATATGAGATCCATCCTCGGCATACTCGCGGATTTCTTCGTTTCCTTCGAAAAGTTTTCCCTCTTTTGCCTCATGTCTTTGTCTCCAAAGCTGGAAAAAGCAAATTTGATTTGAAATTTGAAATCATACAATTTAAATGAAAACCCACCTCTAATTCATTATCGTTGTTGAAGACGATCTCCTCTCGTTTATACTGCTCTTGAGCGTGGAAACCGACCAAGTGAGCGATTAGGTACTCATAATTGTAAAGAAGGACCTAAAATGAACAATAAAAACGTCTTGAATTGACATTTTAGTCTAATAAAACCGGGATAATCAATATTTCTTTAAAATTTGACCCACTTTACAATGCGGATACGGACACCAGAGATTGCCACCAGGTCTCGGCGGGAAACCTCGAGCTTGCTGAAAGAAAGTTTATAAATTGAATGTAGCTGGGATACTGTAGTTGGCAGAAAATATTTTAAATCTTACCGTACACTGGCGATGAAAAGCTCGCACATGCTCCAACATCTCTAATTGTGGCGCAACTACTCCACAAGATTTACACTTTCTCAGCACCAAATCGTCTGGCTCATCCCATTGAGCTGAAATTCGTTTAGATACAGAAGTTGCGAGTTTCTTTTCATTAAATACTATCAAAAACAATTGTTCTAAACACAATTGAACTACTTTTTAATAACTTATTATTAGAAGTCGCTTTTTGGGTGGCTACTTTGGGTCGAATTTTTTGCCCACCTCGCCATAACTTTCTTCTAAGTAGGCCAATCTTTATGATTTTGGTGACATTTTGTTGCACTTGTTGAGATCTACAAAATGACATCAAAAGCATAAAGATTGGCCCACTTAGAAGAAAGTTATGAATCATCTAGGTCAGGGCCATCTTCCTTCCGACTCTTCTGATCAATAGCTTTCTTTCAAGTGGGCCAATCTTTATGCTCTTGATGTCATTTTGTAGATCTCAACAAGTGCAACAAAATGTCACCAAAATCATAAAGATTGGCCTACTTAGAAGAAAGTTATGGCGAGGTGGGCAAAAAATTCGACCCAAAGTAGTTACCCCCCTCGCTTTTTGTATAAAACTTGTTAGAGTTTAAGAAAAGCTACCGAAATCATAAATCGAAACCAGATGTTTTTTAAAAATCAATTCAGAATGTGAGCCTTTAATTGCTTGATAAAAAGCTATAACAATCGACTTTTCGAATTACTGTAACTTTACGATCCTTTGGAAACGTAACTTTTCACTTTACGTTAGTGAAAAGAAATGAGAAATCCTTAAAATTTAACGAACTTCCTTCAAAATCCGGTTCCTCTTCAAGAAAGTCGATCTCTTGAAATAAATCGGAGCTGTGCGGGAGAGATTCGATGTGATCATAGACGACTCCATCCACTTCACATTCATCCGTTGTTTCTAAAAGTTTCTTCGAGTTTTTCCCGCTTAAAATCTACTCTCACCAACATCCACATTGTGTTCATCATTCTGCACTTGCTCTTTAATTTGATACACTTGATAGGGACGAGGCACCAATTTGAGCACTTCCGTTTGACTGGCGGGGATCGGTGGAGCGTCTTGGCGTTGTGGGTACTAAAATGATATGTGATTCATGAAATTTGAGGTAAAATTTGGCAATTTAACGATTTGCCAAGTTTTCATAGCTTTTTAAGACCTATTCATCGAAAAATCACCTTTTTCAGAATATTTGAAGACGAGAATTGGTGGCAAAGCAGAGAAGAATCCTGAAATTTGACTTTGTTACAGTAATTTGCTTTTCTACACCTCCTAAAAGACATTTATTTCAGAAAACTACCGTAATCAGCCAGAATTAGTTGATAGAAAACACTTTCTTTACAGTAATCCTTAAATTACAGTAATTACCGTCAATCTCGGCACTTTTCCGACAACGTGCGGTCGATTTTTAAGCTCTCCCGAAGATTCATCACGCAAGAGAGGGATTTTTCGTTTCACTCCTAGAAAATTTTCTTTTAAAATATGATAAAAACTATAAAATAGTAACCTTTTAATACTTGAACAGCTATTGCTCGTGCTAGTGCTCGAATAGAGCTGTATTTAAGCTTAAACTCTTGAAATTTACAAGGAATTCGAGAGACTTGTGAATCTGAAGGTAAAATTCAAAATGTGAGCTTTGATTTGGAGTTGCAAACGTGCAGAATTTTA